TAGATCATGGGTTATGCATCTCCTTTTCTTCTCTTTTGATATGTAGTTTAAACAGGCTAGATATCGCTTGCTATATCTTACCTCATGGTTTGTAATATTAGGGCTGTTGGTTCAATTTGAACTGGAAGGGATCATATTTTTTGTTGTTTCCTTTTTTCTCTCTTGTAACAACTAGTTTGGTATTCTTTCGAGATTTCCCTTATGGATAGAAAAAATATAAATGCTGTTTTGTGGATTTTTTAATGTTCTTTATATATTATTGTAGTGTTATATGGTGTTTGCTTAAGGACATTACGTTTGCAAAGTTTTTTTTAAGGAGCAATTATATAGACCAGATAGTGGGCATAAAAGTTTTTAATAAATCGAGAAAGGACCCTTTATCAGACTGGGTAACAAGTATTGGGTTAAATTTGGTCTAATTGATCATATCAATGTACTGTAAGAATTTAGGCGCAATTGAAATCAGGAAGCCCTTTTCATTAGTTGGTTAATTTAGAGGAATAGAAGATGCTTTTTTTGATGTTAGGTTAGTGAAAATTGGGCTATATAAGGTGTTTATATTAGTGGGGGTGAAGGGAGGGTAATCATTTTGATACGAGGATGGGAGAGACATGTTTGTTTAGAAAGCAATATCAGGTTGGTGGGGCTCGTGGTGTTTTTGTGGCCTGATGTGTAATTATTGTGTTTAATTCAGCCGTGGTGGATTATTATTTTATTGTCGACTGGTGGATTACCATGTCGGCGGTCCCATGTGTTTTTGGCGGGTGCATGTGCTCTGCTCTAGTGATTTCTTTTGTTTATGTATTTATAATTTTCTTATTGGTGATATTAAGAGGTTATTTACTTATTCTGGAGAGCGGATTTGTGTTGTTGTTTTTCTTGAGTGTTACTTGAAGTGTCTTTCCTAGTTCTCATGCGCTTTTGTTGGTGATAGGAGTTATCTTTGGATTGTTTGTATCTATAATATAGTCATGGTGTTATCGTAACTACGAAACGGTAAGTTACTGAATGAAAGTCCGTGATAGCTAATAAACAGCGTTATATCATTGTATGACTGTTTTTAATAAATTTCTGATATAAGGGATAATCAACTTACAATAACAATTAAACAGCGTGTTCTTTTACTGTAAATGTTTAAGGTCGTTGTCTCCGATTTATTTAAGACAGTTCGATACTGGGTTATGGTTGGACTGTCGGGTCTGCATGGGCTTTGTCATGTGTTTGGTTTTTTCTACATGCATGTGGATGTTGGGATTTATTTTCCGGTGCTCTGCGGTTTTTATTTTGGTTTGGTGGGCCAAAGATAAGTTCGGCTTTTTCCATTAAATTGTCGCTTTGGTGCATTTTTATTGTTTTGTTTTGGGGTTAACATGCATTGATTAGTATATTAAACGAACTTATAGTTAATAGATTAAACTTTGTGAATATCTTGTTAAGCTTTTTTATAATAAGGTACATTAATGGATATAGATATAATTGACTATTTTTTAACAATATTGTGTTTTTTTTATCAATAATAGTATCATAGAATAATACTTCTTTTATTAGTGAATCTAACAACTATCTAATTTTTTTTTTCTCCATCACCTTTTCGATTTTGTTGGGATGTGAATCAGGTGATTTGTTTTTATATTGTTCTTATTGTTTGTTCACAAAATTCTATTCATGGATTCTCCTTTGAGAGGATTTGAGAGGTAATTTCTATTGTTATATGCTTTTTATGAATATGATGTGGGAGTTATTTGTTTCTTTACGGAATTTATATGCTGCTTAAATTTTTTTGAGTTAAATGGACGCGCGTTTTACAGTTACACTAAATAGGATTCATATAAATGGACAGTATAGTTGTTGTGGTATGAAATTATATCATTCCAATTTGGTCTAAGTCGCATTGATTAGCTAGTTTGCTTGCTAGATTTGATTTTGGACTGTTGTTATAATTAGTTGCAACATATAGTTTGTTGCTTCAATTGTTGTGTGTAATTCCTTCTTCCTGACAAGAACTGGAGGTTATCTAAAAATGTAATTGGACCGCTACTTTTTTGATGTTTATTTTGGCTAACAAGAGGTGTGGTGTGTAGTGTCTATTGTGTTGGTGGATGTATACAATCGGGACCGTTCTGAGTAATTTATGTGGGGATTTATGTTGTAGAGTTGTGTCAGAGCTATCACAGGTTTAATATTTAGGGCTCGCTGGTATTTAGGCAACTCTGCGGGTTGAGTGCAATATATTTCTTAGGAGTTCAGTTTTTTGTCTCAAAGTTTACTGGTATAATGTGTATGGTAGTTTTTGGACGGGTTTTGCTTGTGTTAGGATAATACTTCTTGATCTATAATCTTGAACCTTTTTATGTTTTATGGTTTTTTGGGTAATGATCCCATCCAGCGATATATATTTTTGCGATTGTAGTTTGGTATTTTTTAGGTCTAAGCTAATTCCTAAGAGATTAATGGATTTTGTGAGCAATAAGGTACAGGGCATGGCATGATCCAATGATGGTGAAGTACCTGTTTCTGGTCATGGCGTTATATTAGGGTCTCTTTTTTATATAATTTCGCAATATCAGCAGCAGGTCAGACCACTTATTCCACCTGAATGCTTCTTTCTCAGTGTTCTACCTCGGAATGGGTCTGTTGATGGTATGGGGTTTCCTGATTGTTTCTGTGACGCATCTTTGTTACTTATACTGATATATATTGGGTTAGCATATACTATCCATTGTAGGTCTATTGTCACTGGGTTTGAAACATGAGTTATATGTTTCCATATAATTTGGTGTACTGATAGCGTGCCCTGGTTTCTTCTTCGCTATACTAAGACAACGGGATGAGCAGAACCATTCATTTGTATCCAGTACTTCATTGATAGTTAGTGTGCACGTAGGAACGAGTTACTTGTGACGTCAGTTTTATAGTCTACTCAAGCATTATGTCCATATTCCCGATTGTGCTTTTTACACGACCCTCAAGATGCAGGGATAGTTTCGACGGGTTTTGGAGAGAAAGTTGTGACATTTGTTCTCACCAGGCTGGTGTTATCTTTTTTTAGGGAATCAAAACACTACCTAGACATCTTTTCCCGAGGGTGTTAATGGCAGGCTTTCAATAAAACTTTTAGGCAGCACTGTAGCATCAGCTTTTTAAATGTACAGGAATATTTCCTTTCAACGAAAATGCTGTTAGAAAGCTCTTATTCCTGACACAAAACCTAAACAGTCAACACCTGAAGCCAGCCAAATCTGTTCCTATTGAAAGTAAAATCTGTATGTTTTGAACATTGTGGACACTCTAAGCGGAAAATGCTCTTGTTTAAACTAGGATTATAATATCTGAGGATCTGAGTTCAAATATTAGTTGAAACCTCTCTATTCCTAACAAGCAAAAGTCTGCATCCAAAAGGAAAACATATAAAAATGCAAGATCTGTTTTGCAACAGTGAACGCTGAAAAGAAAAAGAGAAAAAGTGAACATTAGAAATGATGCTGTTGTGCACTTTGTTGGGGTATTAAACGATTAACTAATGGAACTCAAATTGTTAACCTATGCAATTTATGATCATCAACAGGGCAAGTTTGGGACATGAAGTAGTTTTGTGAATGTAAGGTTATGGTGTTTGACAGAGAATATTCGTGGGTAAGGGTGTGACAAATGTTGACAAGTGGTAACCACTATGAGTGCTTGCCATCTAATGTGCAAACCAGATGTCAGATTTAAGTTTAGTTACCCCGCCACAAGGTGTTTGTAGATTCTGTGCAGAGTGAGATAATTATGTTGTTTGAAAATAATAGACACAACGCGCCGTGTGTTTCTTATTATAAGTTTATTGTTATTGTGCTTCATGTCTATCAGGTGTCGTTAGATCTTTTTTGTAAGGAATTTGAATTGTTTTTTTTTTATCTACATGATATTTAGTCACAGAACTTTTTAGTTACACGGATTGGCTTCCTAAGCAAATGACTTATCTTCTGAAAAAATGAAAGTGTACATAGTGGAAGCTATATCTTAATAAGTGTTTACTCCTGTAAAAATATAATTCTATGCAAAAATTATTAATATACCTGCTTTATATATTATACAAATGGCAGTCTATAAATATGATGAATGAAGGTCCAGGTAGGGATATCCGTTTTATTTTCGTAATATACCGGTGGGCGAGCATGGGTCTCCTCCTTCAACATTTTACAATGATATTTATTTGGTGGTGTTGACTTACTGGCCAGACAGTACCCGGATGTAAGTGTTTTATGTTTTAAAATGGGTCACATTACGTACCGATTAATTTTATGACCATGCCTATGATATATCACATTATTTGTAAAAAAGTTTTTTAATTAAGTCAACAGTGTATTAAAAATAATAATCAAATAATTGCCTTTATTGGGCGAGCATGGGTCCGACGAGTCTAGATTATTTGGAGTTTCCTCATTTCTGAAAAAAAGTCCTTCTAAATGCAAAGTTTTAGTTCAGAAATGTATCCATAACTCATAAACCACACTGTAAATTTTATTTAAATTTGGTATACAGGTGACCTTTAAGACACATAACTGTGCTATGTTGTCAATTTTACAGTTCCATATAGTGCCTATTACCCATGGTCAACCTTAAGGAATTATCCACGATATATGCAAGGATAAAGTGTGAATGTCAAACAAATGAACAAACATAATTTCAGGATGCAAGTAGAAACTCTGCTTATGCAACATTTTGTATGTATCAAACTCAAACTGTTGCAGTAAAAAATCCGCAACTTGGTGCCCTGCAAGATGAATGTCAACATAAACTTATACAGGAAAATACATACAGATATACAGTACGCTTTAGATTGCAAAGATCAGAAAATACCATAGACCCTGCAGCCCTTTGATTTATTAAAGTATTGCAACATGTCCTGTTTCGAAGAGTTCTGAAAGTTTTTTACAACATTTCCTGTATAATTGTCTTACTGATTAGATATCAAATTATTGAAATCATTAAAATAAATATTCTATTAAAATGAAAACCTTTTCTGGAATTTCTGTCACCGCCTTGACGAAATCATCAACAATGTCTTTCAATGAGAAGTCTGTTGAAATGATTCTCTTAAACGCCTCTACTCCGTTTTTAATAGCACCAACAACTTTGTCAACAATGCTCGTGAACTGTTTGATGAGGTCAGAACCATGTTTCGGGTCTAGTTCCTGTTATATTACATTATGAAAAATTGTAAAAAGACCATTCTTGATCATTTCAAAGTAATGTTACTACATGTAACAAGATTTATCTGAAAGAAAGCTCTGAATATATGAAAAGTAATGGTTGAAATTCGCCATATTTCATTTTAAAAAAATGTTTCGCAAGTATTGATGTCACCTCTTAACATAGATTTACGTAGAAATCATATAAGGTTAAGTTTTAGAACAACAAGTTATTTTTACATTTCTTTCTAGTTTTAATTTGAAAGGTTACTTTTCATATTGCTGGAACAAGACTACATGTTTTTTTTATTATTTGTTATATGTACATATTTTAAAGAGAAAAAAGATCTTAATTGAGAAACTTTAATTACAGAACTTACCTTTAAGATATTAAGAGCATACTTTGCACTGCCTTTGAAACATATTCTTGCAAGGTAAAAATCCAAGCTTATACCAATGTAACCAAGATGTACTCTAACGTAAGCTTCATCATGAACTCTTACATCTATACTTCCTTTTATCAGTGCTGCAAATTACAATTCACATGTTAGACATTGGAAAATACATTCAATTCCTTACATTATGCTACATTCAATATACATGATATATGTTGTTCCGACCCATGGGTTATTCACGGTGGCAAGTAAATAGTTTGCATATATTAGCCATTGTTTTGGTCTTCTTTTTTACAAACCTTTTTTCTCTAGCCAGCATATCTGATATGTAATCATTATAGATATTAGAGCATTTTGTACTTGAGTGTGCATACTTTAAGCTATTATATACAAGCTGTACAATGTCTACTAAAATGATATGCATGTAAAATGATTAACAGTTTAAGAAGTTACAGTTATACATACACATCTGCAGATCTAAAAGATTTTCCATGACGATACCAAACGAAGCACCAACTGATTCGGACCCAATCATTTTGCGCCAATCTACACCAGGTGCTGCAAGTCTGAAAGCTAGTTTTAGGTCTAGAATCGATCTTTTGGCAACACCCGTGTGTGCAAGTCCGGTTCCGTCTCCAGTGCTAAAAGACATAAACGTTAGTATCGTTCTATAAAAAGGAAATTACTTTCAAAACATCTTCCAGCGATTCTTTTTAAGATAACGTCGAATGAAATGTAATCCAGAGCTACTTAACATGTGTAACTAAACATGACTACATGTTGTTCCTGGACGTTATGCAAATTAATTTACTTTACTTAATCATATGCATATCAAGGTGAAATAAATAAACGTTTCATGCACGTACAGACGGTACGTTAAGTAAACTACAATAAGGCGGAACATTGTTAGTAAAGCGTCTAACTATCTGATTTAATACAGGTGCTTCAGTCCTTACTTTTCAATCATAAAATAACATTATGCAACGTGCTTATCAATTCTAAATTCTTACTGTAATGAATAAACAGAATGTGAGCATGAGATTACAAAACACATATAAACATGTTACGTACGTGTCTGCGTTAGCTAATGGATGCGCTTCGTATTGCAGCAGTGCTTCATAGCGGACAGTTTCATCATCATCGTATAAAGCAACTTTCTCAAGCTCTTGTAATGTCTGTTCCAAAAGCATATAGCAAGTTAAAAGTAATCCATGTAAAGATATCTCCTCAAAAATAATTGTTATGCAAATCCACTTTTGTGAATTGATTTGAATAGTAAGCAGTTGATTATCGACCTATGAAATAAGAGCTAAGTGCAGCAGAATATGAACGATAATTCATTCATTAACTTTGATACACATATTTACATGTATACCAGTTAATAGTTCGTAAAACATATATATTTGTACTTTAATCATTCAAGACGCACAAAGAACTAAGAAAAATGTAATCATTAAGAAAACGGTATAGCTGATAATGTGTTATCATAAATATATCTAGCTCAAGTACTTAGACCTTGCCCTATAACTGCATTCAATGTCAATTATTCGGACCTGAAAATAGCAGAATGTGGGAAATGTAAAATGTTTAAAAGAGGTTTGCAAACATCTACAAACTAAAATCGATATGGAATTTTAGAAGGAGGATATTACTTTTATATCATGGAACGTTCTGAGTGCATGTACCCCTGTACGTTTGATCCACTGTGAGTTTGTTGAATTGATATGAGATACAATATGGTCATACGACACGGGTAGTCCAGCATTGCCGATAGCGTCAAGAAGAACAACTTTATTATGGTCGTACTCTACACATTCTATCTCCGACATTGCTGATCTCTTCATCTTGAACAACCATGGATCTGTAAATGTGAAATAATATACTACAGACGTAAGAAAAGATATTGCAATTCACACAGTTCTTCTGCATTTTAAGTATTTAAACATTGTTTCTTATGATAAATAAGTTGAACAGAAATTAAACATGGTCTAAAAACAAAGATAAAGAAAACGTATGGTTATTTCAGGAGCTTAAATAGTCAACTACCGACAACATGACATGAAACAATTAAAAAAATATCAGAAGCCGTTGTATGACTATACCATTATGTCAAATTCCAAAAAATGGACAAATAGAATTGTCAATATAACAAAAATGATGGTGATATATAACCCTTTGTCAGCGCCACGAGACAACAAGCTGTTCAAACTTAATTTATGTGTTCTTTTCGCAAGCGACTAAAACGACGCGTGACAAGACTAAATTAATAAAACAAGAAACACACTTGAGGTCCAAAGGCCTAAACACATCAAATTTGAATTTCTCACATCAAATTTGACACTTTAAAACAGGAAGATAAGCAAACAATTATAAAGCAATTTTCACATAATTATCTTGAGATTATTTGTGGGCAGTTCTTAGTCCACTTTTTTTTTGAAAATCAGAGTGTTCATATCTACGTCAAATTGTAAAAGACTCGAAATAATATTTGACGTGAAAACGAACCTCAGTGGAGTGCCTTTAAGGGAATCTACTGTTTTGTTTTTTTTTTGTTTTTTTGTTTTTTTTAATAAGCGACTAGCGGACGCAAGTCAGGACAAAATTAGGTGAATTTGATTTGTTTTAGTCGAAAGATAGAAAGAAAGTGATAGAAAGGAACCACAATATATTTTCTTGATCAGCCGTGTTGTTGTTCTTTACAAACAATCGTCTATGTGCCCTGATAATAATCTTGCCCTCATTTGCTAAACCAGTACTTTTGTTGCAATTTACTTACAACTTTTGAATCGTTATTCTTTGTGCTAATTCTTTATATAGTTATCACTAGGCGTCTAAGATGATGTGTATGTTTAGTGAGATTAGCATAAAAACACTTGCTTCCTTTGATCAATTGTGGAATGGAATGTAATTTTCTTCGGTTATTTTTAACCGATATAACACTCAAGTTTACATTTTATTTGCATTGGTCCCGTAATACCTCACAAGTGGTTAATTGTTACAGATAAAGTGTTGATTATGGGTGTATTTAATGCTTACGGGTGTAGTTTTTCATACTTCAATACAATATAAACATATGATACATTCAATGATGCAATATATTATCGCAATTGCTTGCACTTCGCAGTAATACTAAATAAAAGTACACACGTTCTTTTCGTACTTTAGTGACTCATTGATTTAAAAAAAAAAAAGAATCAAAGGGCTGCAAGCTCTGTGGTATTTTCTGATCTTTGCAATCTAAATCGTACTGTATATCTGTATGTATTTTCCTGTATAATTTTATTTTCATATACCATCATTCATCTTACAGGGCACCGAGATGCAGCGACTGCGTTTAGATTTTTCACTATAACAGTTTGAGTTTGATGCATCCGAAATTTTGCATGACTAGAGTTGCATCAAAAAATCATTTCTGTTCATTTTTTTATGACAGCCACACTTTATCCGTACATATCGTGGCTACTTCCTTAAAACAGACACTTTAAAAAAATAGTTGCCTCGCCTGGGATTTGAACCCCAGACCTCTCGCAGCCTAAACAAACGCGTTACCCTTGGACCACGGGATAGTTACACGAAGAAAGCTTGAATAAAATCAAATGATTCTAAATTTAGAATTTCCATTTCGGGTTTGTAATCCTTATTAATTTTGCGATAAACCTGTTGTTTAACACTGATGTAAATAATTTAGCGAAAATCTTCTCGCAAAAACAGTCCGACATGTATATATTCCACAACTCGACAGTCAGATTTATTTGTGTACTACGCTCTGAAGTATTCGGAAATCGACATAGCATTTTCATTGATTAAAATGATATTCATCCGCGTAACTTGTGATTGTGCATTTATTGACAATTCTATAAGCCAACGCTAATTTAAAACTTTGAATGCGTTGTAATTTGTTGGATACTTGTAATAAAATAAGAATATTTTTTTTATTTAAATCGCTAGTTTTAAGCTGTTTTGAGAACTACTTGTTGTTAGGTTTGTCGTGAAATTTTATGCCAGAGATTGAATGTCAGCATTGCACTTTCTGATCTGCGATCAGAAAATACAAAAATGCATTTATCAAGAACAATTCATACAAAAATATAAAAGGGAATATCTATTTGATACAGCACAACAGTAATAAAGAAAAAAGCAAATAAGATATCATCATGAATTGTGTTACTTAAGCTTGCTTCTTTTACACAAAAGTCCTTATTTTTTTTCTTTTAACACGTGCGTAGAATCATCAGCAAGTCAAGTCAAGATTAGATAAAACAAGCATGCAATCTATATTGAACTTACCATGTAAACCTAGTTCGTCATGGAGATATTGTACAAGTTTGTCTGCGTGCTCTGAATTGCCGTACTGTTTCACACTTCCGACCAAACCACCAAATGTTAAACAAGATACATGACGGATATTTTTGGAAAGAAGTATACGTTCAGAACGTTTGCCCTTAAAGCAAAATTTCTCAACAGTTGTCAGTAACTCCTGCAATAATTAGACCATACAAAGGTATGATAAAAATTAATACTGAATTATAATAACTACGGGATGTGATAACTATTGTATACAAACAGAAAACTATTTAACATGTATTCATCTGTGAGCTAATATAAACAAACCCGTGTAAATTGCAAAGTAAAAATGTTATATCATTTTAGAATAGGGACAATAGGAAATAATTATTTAAAATATAACACTTACCATAAATGGTTCATGGTCTAACGCTGTTAATGAAGTCAGTACTCTCATCAAGAGCTGCTCGTCTGTTTGCAGATTGTTGAGAATCTTGTTCACGATCACATCTTGTTTGTTCAGCGCTATGAGAGCTTCAGCCATTGTATTTTTATCGTCCTTATTCTTAGGTGTTCTGAAATGTAAGCAAAAGAGAATCTTTAAACAATATAGGAGAAAGGTAGGCTTCTGCCTAGTTTAACTGAACAGAACCTACAGGTTTTCCAATTTCATGTCTTCATTTGACACTAGTAAATTCAGGAATTCGAAAGTGAAATGACCGGAAATGGTCAAATATCTTGTTTTGTAAGCGGAATTGAAAATATATGATTAAAAATGTTTATTTTCCTCTCATTAAAGCGGATGTGTGCTTGCTGTTACGAGGGGTCTGCACTTATCTCCCATTACATGAATTAAATTTATTTGTTTCAAATATATCACAGACGCACAAACTGATATGTTTTTGTCATTTGTTTAAGACTGTATTTTTAATTTTTAATTCAGTCATTAATTTTAAATCGTGATATCACTACATCATGAGGTCACAAGTTTCAAGTTTATAACATTTCTCTAATTTCTAAATAATTTAAACTGAAGTAAAATTGTCATGTACATTTTGCTTAAAGGGTGTGGCTGTCTTTTTTTAGGATTTTCATTTGATTTAGCAAATAAATAGCTCAGCTATGGTCAGATTATATTTTGATAAATAATCAGTCTACTTTAAAAATCTACTATGTAGCAAGTACTACAGTATATTCTATTCCCATTGGATCGTATCTCCTGTCATTATTACATTTACAAACATCCGGTGATATAAATGACATGATCCGGTTTTCAAAGTTTACTTATCTTAACACAATCTATAAATTATTGTAACTTACGTAACAAATTTCTACATGTTTTAAATTGTATCTTAATAATATGTGTGTTTCATATATAAATATATCAACTTACACTGTCAGAAAGTATGTATTTGCGATCTGCTCAACATCCGACTCTGTCATTTGATCAAGAGTTCTTGTAAGCATGTGAAAACATTTACCAAGTTGAGGTGAGCCTTTAAAGCAAACAGAAAAATAAACGTGCTTTCAGCTGTAGTTTAAATATATGTATTGTTTACCAATTCAATCTTATCACTTAATTTAAACAAGATTTGTATATTTGAATAATGTTTAAAGGTTCGTGTGATAAAACAGTGTTAATTTATAAACGGTGCCGCTAAACGGTAGACATGTTTTCAGTGCAAAATTGTTTAATATCAATCAGTCAAACCGACATTTTTGGCAAGTTTGAAGAAAAAAAAAGATTATTTCACTTATCTTAGTAGTGTAATCGAGTTTTCTGAACGATAGCAAGCAGTTATGATTAATTTTAAGATTCTGACCTCTTTCTGGTTGATGACGAATGCACGTGAGATTTCCCGCAATATATGTTTTTGCAAGTTTAACTTCAGTTTGTGTTTGGTAAATTGCTCGCTTTTTAATCTGCAATAATAGAAAGAAATACAATGAAAAGTTGTTAGTCTTCCGTTATGAATGCGATCTCGTATATACTTTATTCTTGTCTGAAAAAGTTATAAGCTATGCCTACGGTATACGTTAACAGAAATGGAGTAGAGCACATCTATAAATGTAACCGGATTATTCCTTTTTCCTAGTATCTAAATATGTGATTTCTTTGTCATAAATTCAAAAGAATAAGTCATTATAGATCTTATGAATACCATTTACAAATTGGTGTAAAATGAGTATGTGGTGTTGTTGTTGTTGTTGTTGTTGTTAAAAATTTTAAAACTCAACATACCTTTTTCGTATGATGGATACTTGATGATTCAATACCAATTGGCTTCTCAAACTGAACTGTAAAATCTCTTTTCTTGAAAAACTCTAGTTTGTCTTTAGAACTGGCTGTTACCGTTGGAAAACCTATGAGTACACATACAGTCAAACTATATAATTCCGTTACATTTAAAACAAACAATTTTAATTTTCATTCGTGTGTTTTACGAATTAAAAGTCTTATCATTTCGAGGCGGAAACTTTCAAAATATATGATTGGATTGCTCATAGTTGTTTATTATAAGCATTATCACAATTATCATCATAATCATGAACTTCGTTTAATTATTATTGTTATCATAACATGGTTAATTATCATCATCATTATCATCATCATTATCATAAACTCCATTTTTCTATCATTATTATAATTACATGTATAATTATCATTGTCATCATCATAATTATCATCATTATTATCATAAACTTCATTTTATTATCATTATTATCATTACATGTATAATTATCATTGTCGTCATCATCGCAATCATTTTTATTATCATAAACTTCATTTTACTATCGTAATTATCATTACATGTATAATAAACATTGTCGTCATCATCACTATCATCATTATTATCATAAACTTCATTTTACTATCATTATTATCATTACATGTATAATTATCATTGTCATCATCATCACTATCAACATTGTTATCATAAACTTCATTTTTCTATCATTATTATCATTACATGTATAATTATCATTGTCATCATCATCATTATTATCATAAATTTCATTTTATTATCACTATTATTATTACATGTATAATTATCATTGTCATCATCACCACTATCATCATATATATCATAAACTTCATTTTACTATAATTATTATCATTACAAGTACAATCATCACTGTCGTCATCATCACTATCATCATTATTATCAAAAACTTCATTTTACTATTATTTTTATCATGACATGTATAATTATCATTGTCATCATCATCAATATCTAAACTCTATTTAATTATGGTCATTCCCATCACCACAATCATCATCATCAGCAGCAGCGCAACATTCATTTTGTTACGACGTTCAGATTAGACATTGACATAAGAAATTTTGAATTGCTTTAACAGATCGCATTGCCATAAATGAATGTAAAGTCTTAAAATGTCAAACCGTCTTAATATTCTTTATATTTTTTATTTATATATTTTTTTCATTTATTTTTATTTTCATTTATTTTATTTTATTTTATTTAAAATAAATTTATTTATTTATTAATATATTTAATTTATTTATTCATTTATTTTTAATCACAATTTAAGAATTTTTTAGACCAAGTTCAGACAAAACATTTTAACCTTTTTGAATCATAAGTAGTTTTTAATTGAAAATATTGGTTAAAGTTAAAGTATTATAAATGCGCGCTGCAAAGGGATATTTAGCAAAATTAAATTATGCATAAAAAGACATTTCTAATTGGGAAAACAAATGAGAGAAGTAAGCAATAACAATGAATAAAAACCTGTTTAGATTGGTATTACAAAAAAGCTTATTTATCGAAACGTGTTTAATTTAAATTCAACCCATTTATCCAAATAACTTTGAAGTAAGAAAACATGTCAATTGTGGTGTCTAGATTTCAAATAATAAAAGAAAAACATATATAACATAAGCATTAATTTACACATTCCAGGTGCCTGATAACGTCTCACATGTTTGTTTATGTTTTGAAAGAAAAAAAATTATGAGTAAGCTTGTTTTGTCATGCATTAAGAAAAAAAATGCCTTAAATTGACAGAGCGACGTACTTCATAAGTTGAACTTTTAAACCATTTTAATAAATGGAAACGGCTCATCAAAAATATTTTGATTTATATGGTCTTGATAGTTAACTGTGATAAAGTTTGGGAGTTTTTTGTTTTTTTCGATTTTTTTTTTCTCGGAATTTTTTTATCATTGACAATACAACCCGTTTATAACCGAACTTCCCGAACTATATTTTATCATAATTTTACTTAAACATCCTAATGCAACACAAGAAACCCGTAATCAAAGACAAATAATTTGCTAACGAAATTGAGGGAAGAAATCTCTTTGTCATTCGCCATTTCCATGTGGTCCATTGAAACCAAACAAGCATTTAACTAGTTAAAATGAGGAAACAAACAAGAAAAGCATTCAGTATGCTTTCACAAGATAGGAAAGTAAATAATCTTCGTCAAAAGCTACCTGAAAATAATACTAATCATTGATCATTTATGCGCTAAACTATTTAATAAATGTATAAATTTACTATTTAATCAAGGGTCACTTTCTGTATCCCACATTTCAATTCGAAAACAATCAATCAACCTTTTGTTTGCATACTTAACATAATTTATAAATTTCAGGAGCTCTAGACAAGAACGCACGGCTACTTTCCAGTTCATAAAAAAGCGAAAAAAGATTTAAAGTTTAAGTTTGGGTAAGCTTATAAATTGCTCGAGGAGGCTTAGTTATAAAAACCTAAAAAAAGCATTTAAAAAACATTTAAAGCATACGAACCCATGTTAGAAAATCCAGACACTGCATGTACTGGTCTCATGGCGTGAAAAGGATCATATCTGAAGTGGTCACAATTATACAGATAAAGAAATTTTTTATCCAAAAGCAAATGAAATGAACAAAATGTGCTACTGCCTAAACTCTTAGTACGTTTTGAACGTTTTGAGAAATGACAGTTGCTAAAGAAACAAACCGTATCCTATCATTGCGTTACCCAGTACCTATTGTTTTTGGTATCATTTTTATAATTTGGAATGACTTACTGATCAGAGGAAAACGAAATTTGTCCAGCAGCCAAAGTTCAAAATTAAGTGGATTGAAACTAGAGCATGTGTAGAGTACAACAATGCTGATAAAAGCACGGATAAGAGTAAACAATAAGCTAAATGAGCATAACAGTCACAGTAAATGTTTGTATAAAAAATCTGTTTAATTGTAAGCAATAACTCACAGTGCTTCTTTTTTATTGATAGGCTTAATATAATTAACATTTATCGAAATATATATTTTAAATATTCTCCATTATGTGTTATACGAGCTATAATTTTGTATACCCAGCTTTAGTTGAAAAGTCAATGTTCATTTCCTCTTCTATCATCACGCTATGTATTGTGTTCAAGTCTTCATGAAAATGTAACATCTGAAATAAAATATTTGACAGGTCACAATTGTACCTTACTGAACGAAACTTGGTCTTGTTTTAAGATTTATTTAGGCTATTGCAATACATTTCTATAGGTAATATATATATATATATATATAATATATATATATATATATATATATATATATATATATATATATATATATTATATATATATATATATATATTATGAACAGTCATAAATATTGTAGTAAATAACGTCATCGAAATAGATAAATGTATTGACTTTATATCAATACAAAACAGCTCACAAAAGCTATTATTGTGTTTTTGAGTCATACTTTTGCCCATAGTGTGCTCCTCTTGGTTCACGGTACTTAACGCTTTGAAGCAAGAAACAAAACAACACATGAAAATTATGGTACAAAAATTGTCATAAGCTGTAACATATAGGTATTTTCTGCTGTATGACACAAGGAAACAACAATATATTTAGTCAAAATCAGTTTAAACTAGAAATGTGTCATCATGCCACGGATGCCCCCGCATGCAGCCAAAATTTCAGATGTTATAATATTTAGTTCCAAATTTGTTTGCACAAATTATTGTTTTCATTTTAAGTTCAAAGCCCTTGAAACTTTTCAACGTTTACACAAACCATTTTCATACAATATTCAAGGCACTGAAATTATTCAGTCTTAACCTTTTGAAAATAGCATATTTCATATTTGTAGCCAAAATAATGGCTACATACATTTCCACAAAAGTATGAGTGCTGAAACTGAAAGTTCAAATTTTTTCCAATATTCAAGAAAGATAAGTTTGTCCAAAATCATTGAACCATGACCAAATTCAAACTTAAACTGCTTATTCCTAAGATGTATCTATATTATTTTCAAAGTGAAAGGGACATAACTCTGCCAAAAAATCATCGAACCATGACCAAATTCCAACTTGACCTGCCCATTCCTTTGACATATCCATATGTCAAATTTGAGTTGAATATGTAACACTGTTGGGTAGATAATGAACAGAAACTGTAAATTTCATATTATTTTCAAAGTGAAAGGGGCATTACTCTGCCAAAAATCATTGAACCATGACCAAATTCGAACTTGGCCTGGGCATGCCAAAAACATATCCATATGTGAAATTTGAGTTGAATGTGTTGTACTGTTGGGGAGATAATAAACAGAAACTGAAAATTCATATTATTTTCAAAGTTAAAGGGGCATAACTCTGCCAAAAATCATCGAACCATGACAAACTTCAAAATTAACCTGCCAATTTCTTTGACAAATCCATATGTCAAATTTGAGTTGAATGTGTAATACCATTGGGAAGATAATGAACGGAAACTGAAAATTTCATATTATTTACAAAGTGAAAGGGGCATAACTATGTCAAAAATCATCAAACCATGACCAAATTCAATCTTGACCTGTATTTTCTTATGACATATCCATATGTCAAATTTGAGTTGAATGTGTAATACCGTTTGGAAGATAATGAACGGAAACTGAAAATTTCATATTATTTACAAAGTGAAAGGGGCATAACTCTGTCAAAAATCATCGAACCATGACCAAATTCAATCTTGACCTGTATTTTCTTATGACATATCAATATCAAATTTGAGTTGAATGTGTAAAGACAGTTGGGGAGATAGTTAACGTAAACTGAAAATTTCATATTATTTTCAAAGCGAAAGGGGCATAACTCTGCCAAAAATCACTGAACCATGACCAAATTCGAACTTGACCTGTATTTTCTTATGACATATCCATATGCCAAATTTGAGTTGAATTTGTGCAACCGTTACTAAGATAATGAACGGAAACTGATGATGACGGAATGACAGAATGACGGAATGACGGAAGGACGGAATGACGGAATGACGGAAGGACGGAAGGACGGAACAGGGTAACACTATATGCCCCGGCCATTACATGGCGGGGGCATAATAAGTCAGATTTAGACCATATGTCGGCCATTTTGAAAACAGTATGTCATCATTTAAATCGTGGTAATGGTGTTTTATTTCAGTTTTTCATGCATGTTTCAGTTAAAATTTCTACATGTTATTTTGCATAATTTTAAATATTAAAAGTACTTTTACATTATACCTCAAAATTAATTTTTTCAATGAACAAGAACATTTAGAAAATGATGATTGTTTCAGACGTATGCACAAATTTAACGGACTGTTGTTGCTTTTTGCAGAACTTTGTAAAATGTCGTTCTGTTTCACGTAAAAATCTATAGATTTAAATATTTTGCACAAAAACTTTGTTGTTTAGGTGCTTAAATAAAATATGTCAATTATGACTTCACATGAAAATATGCCATTACCGTGAAATAAGTGATGATGCGGAATTAGTGATGTTGAGTATATATAACAACACGAAGTAATATCTATAGAAATATCAACAGTTGATCAAACGGAAAAAAAACTTGCGCTTTAAAATAAATAAAGTTTGCATTGGTCTTTACTAACAATTTGATTGTACATATACTCGTAATTCAGTTTGTTTGTAGTGCGACGTGATCATTTCTTCGTCAACAAATTACATAACATTTAATAAACTTTCATTATCATTACATTATACCTTTGCATTACTTCCGTTTCCCATTTACGGCTTGAATCTGTGTAGAATTTCTTGTCTTTATATATTCATTACCCCTTTGAAGTTTTACGGACATGTATGAAGCATTCATGCTGACCTGAATATACATATAAACTTAATTGTGAATATATAGACTAACACTTGTGAAGAATATAACACCAAAACCTGGTGCAATTAAGAAGAGACTGTTTGAGACAGTTTGAGCAGAATCCTAAATGTCGTGAAATTACATTATAATTTTAGACAATGTTTAATTTAAAAAAAAAAAAACAATTTATATTCATTGAAAACATTTCACAAAAACTGAAACAAAGAAAAACTATAATTATAATTTTCGTGAAAGCAAAGGATTACATACTTCAATCTATCAAATGATTTATGTTTATTTATTGGATATTTTTACTAAAGTATTTATATTTTTATATCATATATTACTTATGAAATACAACAAACATGAAATTGCCCATGAAAAATTTAAAAAAAAACGTGTCCCCAAAAAGCACCCCCACAAAAAAGTATAAGATTTTTTTACAGGGGAAAAAATTTTTTCCCAGTTTTCTTTTCAAAAAGGTTTATCGGATATAAACAATTTTTAGCAAACCCTCTAAAATTTTTAAACCCCAAAAAATCAATAATGAAACTTTTATGTGCTTTTCTCTTAATTTTTGTTTTCATTTAAATTAGAAAACAAACGCTATGGGTTTTTGCATTTTATTTTTTTAAAAATTTAAATTTAAGGGATTTAAAAAAAAAAAAGCCAAAAGTCAAAGGGGTTCTTTTATTTACCTTCTCTCCCAAATTTTATCTGGGCTTATAAACCCCCGGGCCCTTTTTGTTTCCTTCATTTCTCAATCTGAAAAAAAAAATATTTGGACTTTTAAAAATTTAACCCTTTTTTTTTCAAAAAAATTTTCCCTTTAAATTAAAAGACTCTTATGTTTGACTCTTTGATTTTGGAAACTAGCAATGCAGAATGAAAAACATTATTTACTTATTTTGGATTGAAAGCGCGTGACCCTTGTATTTTAACTTTTTGTCTGGGGAACTAAATGAAAACAAAGTCTAAAACTTTTTACTTAAGATAAAATACTTATTGATCGTCTTAAAGTCAGTCCTATATTGAAAAGTCATTGACTTTAGGAATACACTTAGGACTTTCTATGAAACGCAGCCCGGTGTTGTTTTAATTGTAAAAACGGCATTTGTAACAGTCTGTAGACTGATATAAACCGTCATTATGAATTTTAAGTTTGTATTGATAAAAGTGAAATAATTAGTAAAATAACAATCTCCCTGTTAGTTAGTTAACAATTTTAAAACATGGCAAATTGCTTATTAATTTACTACCTCATTACGATGATGAAGCTTTTAGCTGACAGCATTCCAGCAAAGCCTTTCTTCATTATAAGAACTTCATCGTCCTCGTCAGCCGGGTGATAAACCTTTCTGATTTCACCTCGATGGCTGATCTCAAAGGAGAACCTGAATCAGACAAAACTATGATCATGAAATCATATTCACAGAATGGCAAAGACTTAACAAAACAAATCGTTCATTATTACTGTTGCAGTCAGTGTCGGCACTTTTCGTTTGTAAGGCTGTCCTTTTCGGTAAAATAAAATCTCTTCTCACGTTTTTCAAATTCTCGTTATTTCTGTTGCATGCTGGGTAAGTCTGGTAAAAACACATTTTCGGTGCTCCAAAATGAAATCTATATTCTATGTAAATTATTTAACTACTGCTAAGTAATGGTGAGGTGGTAAAAACAAATATTTACTACACACCAAATGACCATGCATTACACACACAAAATAAGTCATGATGATAGAAAGGTAAGACTTTCAAAATCATTTCATAAGTTTCAAATATTATAACAAAATTTTGTAATTTTGTCGTGTAATAGTGTTGATACCGATTAAAAAGAATACGTATTTTGAATTTGAATTCATTATGGCCTACTATTTTTACCAAACTTTTTTAAAATAAACTTACCATTTTGGAGAAGTTGACCTGATTGATTGTCTGCCTCTATCAAAACAAAAAAATACAAATCCAATGAAAAAGCGTTTACATCTAAAAACAAGATAGCATAAAAAAAAGTTGGTGAACATCATTTTTCATTCTTTACGGGGGAAAATCTTATTTTCTAATTGTATAGAAAACAGTTACACCAGAATTAAGACTATTTAAGAAATTTCTATTTAAATCCGGGACCGACAAAATACAAAATTTACCAGTTACATTTGCCCGGTGCAGTGATTAAACGGAAATATACCACACCCGCATTTATCACTCTATTGTAAACAGTATTAAAACCTTTGAACTTATTACATAAAAGTGTGTTTGAACCTACCTATAAGACGGGAAAAAAACCCCCACATATTTTTTTTCGAAAATGACATTATAGGATATTTGATAAATCCGAATTAAACAAAACATTTTTAATCATAGGTCAAAAGTAATCACTAACCAGGAGTCCTTTTGGGCTAAAGTCAGTTTCCACTGTTAACAATCTAAGGAGCAACTCTTTGGATCATCCTTTCTCCCTATTTCACAACCCAAATCTGAATAAAAAAATAAAAACGTTTCTAGCATTTCGATGGTCATTTACTTATTTTTCAACCCATTTTATATTTGATAGATATGTAGATTAGGTTTTAGATAAATTATTAAACTGAATTCACAGTGTTTTTATCAACGTATTTCATTTGAGTTCAAGTAACAATTGCGCTACTTATTACGTCTTTATATAATTTATTTAAAGTTTAAGGTGATATGTGTCCCTTTGGGTAATAGTTTCCTCGCCGGAGAAAAGCTTTGCAATTGCGTGTTTCCTTGCGCTCATTCTTAATTAAAAAATAAAATAGTTATGATTGAAAATAAATGACTATTGTACCTATACCCATTCTATATCTACAAGAGTATGAAATAAACAACTTGGCTCATTTGTAACAGTTATAGAAGTAATCTTGGCATAGCATTCATCGAAGGATATATCAGGCTAAAAGAAGACATTGAATAACTGAGGCTTGATACTAAAATTATAAAACGAGTTCAATAAAATCATATTTTAAATTTTTTTTCAACGAGTTGCAATGAATTCTACATTTAAAGTATTCAATTATCCATATTCACTTTAAAAAGCGCGTTTTTTAACCCCTTTAAAATAGAGTCATTTTTACACTTGAATAACCTATGTTTAACCTTTTAACAGAGTTCAAAAGTGTTTTATTTGAACCACTAATGAACGCCCACGGCCATTGTTATGACCTTAGTGTAATGGTTCATCCCACTTTCTACGTTCTTGTTTATATGTTCAATAAATTAATCAATTAAGTTTTCCTGTTCCCCCTTAGAGAGAAAAATGTTTAACTCCCCGAAGCTCCAATGACAGAATTGAGATTGTTACAGATATTTCAAAACCCCGGGCATAATTTATAAAGACGATTTTAAAAGGTGAACAAAAACTGTTGCAGACTAGGCAGACCCCAAGCACAAGGCGAATCCGCGATCTGTTGATGTCATGATTCCAGCTACAACAGTCTGGAAAAAAAAGAAACGCATTTTAACAACAATTGTCCAAACTTTTTTTTATGGAATTTGCACTGATGTGTCACAATAAAGATTACTTGATAACTGCCACACGAACACATCTGACGGTATTTCTAAATTCGTTTGTTTAAATATTTAATGTTAAATATTGAATTCTGATTAAGCCGTGCTAGGGGCAAGGACGGTTTCTTGAACTTTCAAGTACCGTCTATGAACAGACTGAATCAAACCGATCTTACAAAAGTTTCAATTTTTGCCGGTTTTTTTTTTGCGTCTTTTTAGCGAACATTGTTTGGATTTTACAAAAAATTTCGCCTAAACTCTATTTTTCACTTTATTTATATAATAACGATGCGGATTTGATTCGATGCAAGTTGATAAATATCAAATAATAACTATTGAAATCAATGAGTACCTTTTTATCCATAAATTTTTTAAAAAAAAGACCCTAAATACCCCCTCTTGATTAAAGTCTAACTCAAAATTTAAAAAAATAAGAATTTTTTTATCTACATATCAGAACAATTACAACCTGACTTTAAAAAAAGCCACATCGTTTATTTGCCCCACCCCTAATTTATCAGTTTCGCAAAAAAAGGACAAACACAAACCAAAAAGGCCCCTTTAATGTAAAAATTATGACAATTATTAAAAACACATCAATCTTTTTTCTTTTTTTTTGGGAAAATTACCCAAAAACCCAATTAATTTTGTTTAAGGTTTTTTCCCTAAGGTTTTCCTTTTAAAAAACAAATTTATGCAATGCGCTATAAAAGATAAACATATTAAAAACTTTTTTTTTATAATTTTTCCAATGGACTAGCCAAAAAACGATGGGATAAACCATAAAAAATTTAAAAACTAAAATTAAATTTTTTTAAAAATTATTTTTATGCAGCATTAAAAGAATAAAATTTATTTTTTTAAAAGTCAACAAACTTCTTTATTTTAAACTTGAATAATTTTTTATTTCTTCATTAAACTTAACATTAAAAAAGTAAAGTGGCCACTAAAATTATAATGGGGAAGTTTCGCAAAATATAATAAAAGGGTATTTAAACATTTAAAGTTTCATCGTATTCAACTTAAAACCCTTTAAAAAAATGGATGGGCCCACACCTTAAACACTTTAACCAGTGAAGGGAAAGTTTTTACCGGTTAATTTAAGTTAAATTACCTTTTGCACAATTTTTATTTTGGAGTCCGAATTTTATTATCAAAGGGAATTTAAAATAAAAATGTATTTAAGTCAATTTATTCAAACAATATAATTAAGGTAGACCATGGGTAATGGGAACCATGAGGAACTGTAAAATTGACAACATAAGACAGTTATATGTCTTCAAGGTCACCTGTATGCAAACTTTAAATAAAATTTACCGTGTGGTTTATGAGTTATGGATATATTTCTGAACTAAGACTTTGCCATTAGAAGTGTTTATTTTCAGAAATGAGGAAACTCTAAATAATATGTAATATCATCATTATAAAAAATGTTTTTCTATTACCCATTGTTAAGAAACAAATTTAAATAATAACATTCAGGTAAAAAATTACACAAGCAAAATGTTTGTTTCTAAACAAAATGTTCTTAATATGTATAAAAATGTTACCCTACCCCACCCACTTTAAACACTAATTTTACCATTTCCCTATCTAAAATGCCTTATTCAAAATATTCCTAAAATTTACCATAATAAGGGACTGTTTTCAAAGTCTGCCTAAATTTTCTTAAAGGTATATTGGTTGATCACGCGAAATATAAAATACTTTTACCGTGTAGTTTTTATTTTATTAAACTATGAAAATATCTGGTATCATATTTGCTATAAATTTTGTCATTATTTAGCAAATAAATACTTACAATAATTATACAATTTAAATCAAACCTTTTTTTCTTCCATAAGGGATCAAAAACGTACATAAATAATGTTAAAAAGAAAAAAAAGTTGCCCCTTCTGGGGGTTTGAACCCACGCCCCTCAATTTCAATGTAGTTTGCAAGCGATTTTAGCCTATTTGAATACTCTTCAAAGTGGAGGTAACGCATTACCCATGGTCTACCTTAAATTACGTATCATCTCCGTAGTTAACATTTAGTACCCAAATGATACACACATTTGTAAAGACAATGCCTCTGCCAAGTTACAATACACATATCACAGATTTTACTATCAACATCACAAGAAGTTTTAACTATTAAATTATTGTTATTGCCCAATAACCCGACAATTTAGTTAAACTATTGAAATGAACCTTGAATACCAAGTAAAATAAAATACGAAGACTCAAATACAGGAAATGTAACAAATTTATTACAATCATATTTTATTGTATTTAAAAGAACAAATATTCAAACCCCAAAAATTTATTTTTCAACTATAAAGTATTAAACTATGATATATTTGTTTAATATTTGATAGCGATTTTAATAAATTTATTTTATTTAAAGAATGATTGTAGAAAAATAGACTTACTTCTATGCCGTCATTTCTTCCTTTGCGCAAGAATAAGAATTATAATCTTTTATCGCAACGGGAGGTGCTTTTGCCTCTGCTTTTATTGGGTAAAATATATTGGCCAATCGATATCTTTGCTACTAAACGTTTTAATGTTAAACTTGATATAATGTCTACATTCCTATAACTGGGCCTTGAATTGTATTTCTGCATTGGAATAAATTGTTTTAGGTGGACGATGGACACTTAAATAGAAGCAATAATATAGTTACACGAGCAATGGATGCCGTCGTTTTACAATTGCTTTTGTTTTCGGTTTGTTTCAGGTAATATATGCTGTTGCTATTGTTTTTTTGTTGTTGTTATTTTTTCGTTTTATTATAAGTTGTACTTTTATTTTGCATTTCATTTTTTTAAACTTAGAACTTTAACATATTCTGAAATTTATACTTTTTTCAGGATGATAATTATATCGAGTAAAAAATAAAAAGAGAAATTCATTATATCCAAAACAAATAGTTAAAGTAAATGGAAAACAAATCGTGTGTCTATATGGTTTTCAAAAGTGTTTGTATATTTGATTTAGCCATGCAATACATATATAGGGAAAGTTGTATCTAAAGAAGGGTGAAGTAAATTTTGTTAGCACCAAACTATCCCGTTTTGTTTTTTTAGACCATGTTAGACGGGCGAAAACCCTATTTACGGGCGCCGGCCGGGAAATCGCGTGATGATATCAAACTCTTGTATTAAAGGGACTCCACTGAGACTTTTAGACCTGACGCGACTTGTAGTATTTTTCCGAGATTTGTGTTCAGTTGATATTGGTGTAGACCAATAACTTGTCAGCAAATGAACAAACATTCCCTCAATTTACTTTTCAAGAACCGTCATTCACTCAAATCAGACTAAGAATCGCACAAAAATTGATTATGTATTCTTTTCTGATCATTTTTTTTTATTTCATTGCATAGTTTTTGTGTTTTAAGTGCTTGACTTGGTCTAAGTAACAATTTCAATTTAAAAGTGTTTAGAATTTTAGACCTCAGAGGAGCTCCTTTAAATATTATAAATATTTATTTATATTACTAGTATTTGCGTAAATCTTTCACAGAAACACCGTTTTCCGGATGCGGTTTGTAACTTACTTGCATTCACACATTTACACACACACATCTAATTTACCTCTTCCATTTCCTTGTCTGTAAAACAATTAGTTAGATCTTTGCTAAAGCTGTGAAAGGACTGTGAGGGCATTACGTATGCTATGGAGTATTTATAGTCTAAAATTTGTTTCTTTCAGTTACGCAGATGCATCTTGCGTAGAATATTATAGGACATCCACAGAAACATGTGATGGCTGGTTCGGATGGTGGGGATGCAAAACTGTGTAATAACTTTTTATATTACGTTTTTTCTTCTTCATTATTTTCACTTCTTTATATTCTATCTTTTGGTGAAATTATCTTAAATGTTGATAAATAAGTCGTATCGTACTGTTTGAAACTGAGATTGACATGAAAATATGCCCTGTTCCATACACACACAATCAATGAAGATTTTTATTGAGTCACTATAATTCAGTTTTGGTAATATCTGACCAGTTAATGAATAAAAAACTATTGAATACAACACACTTTGTAAACAAAGTTATTTGGGTATATATTTCGTGAAAATATGTTCTGTTATGTTCAGGGTATTTCTAATTCGGTTAGTAATAAAATGAATCCAACTTTAAGTCAAGTCGAAAATAGAATCAAGAACGAGAAGAAACTGTTAATCTTTATTGGTTATCTATTTTACTATTATAGCGTAGAGTGTTTTATCAAATTGATTATGATAGTTATTATTATTATTATTATTATTACTGTAATTGTAATTGTTATTGTTATTATCATCATCATCATCATCATCATCATTATCATCATCATTATTATTATTATTATCATTGTTATTATTACTATTTTTATTATTATTATCACCATTATTATTTTTATGATCATCATCAACATCATCATCATTATGATTATTATAATCATCATCATTATTATTATTATTATTATTATTATTATTATTATTATTATTATTATTTTCCCGAAGAGGGTGAAATGTATCTCTACTACGCTGGCTACGTTTAGGCCTTACTTATACTGACATCATAACAGAAGCTTTAGTAATAATTTATTGTGAAAGAATTTTTTTCAAATGTACTCGTCAATGTATTACAACTGTTTTGTGTATCCATTTAAGCTAGTTTGTCTTATACTCTGTCATTGCTCTGATTTTCAATTATTGTTTTAAAAGGTATTCACAAAGCAGCCGATGTTGTAGCGGATGGAGAAGTAGCTCGACATCGAGGTTTTCGTTGTTCAGATGCAATTTACGTAAGTCTGTCAGAGTCAGAAATTACATTACAATTTCTCATTAATAAAATGACAATTTACACTTAGATTGCATATTTTAACTAAATGATTTATATGTATTTGTTCTGGAACATAGTTATGTCTAATGTTGAATCTAAAACGGTCAACGCTGTATTACGTATTACACATTTCACTTTGAGAGCAAATTTGATGGACAATAAAAAAAATTAAATTTCACAAACGATGACCTCTTCAAAAAAACTAAGAGATCGGATAGAAATGAAATATCTGTGATCTCCATAAAAGTTGGGTAGGATAAAGTACTTCCGTTCATTTTGATAACATACTTTTTCAGCACTCTGTAACCGAGGCTACGGTTCAGACACTTGCAATAGAATAAATGAAGGGGAAGTGAAATACAAAGATGGAAAAGTTGTGCGAAATAGTGGTGGAACATGCTATGCCCCATCGCGATGCCGAAATTGTAACGAAGGATACTTTCCAGTGACCTATAGCAACGGATATTGCAAAGGTAATATTACGGACGAGTTCCAGAAGTTTGTATATCACATAACCTACTGCGCAGTATTACACCAGTTTAATTATGTCGGAATGGGACGGTTTTTTTCGTTATTCAAACACAAAATAAATGCGAGCTTATGTTAATGTTTTACTAAATGCGAGTAAATAAACAATGAATGAACCGCTCTATTGTCTTGGCTATTTGATAAATTGAATTGTGCATTACTAAATTTATTCAAAGAGTAAAACAATATTACGCTCACTAGTGGCTAGCATTGTATGATTGTAGTCAACTCGTTTATAAAAAAAAAATAAGTATAGCACCTGCATTTATTCAACCTCATTTATTTAACCTCTATGTAAAGGGCATGTATTTTTTTTTTAAATAGACACGTTCTTTTGCGAAGAAAATGTGCAACTATCACTGTAAACTCGTATCTAAAACAAAGAACTCTTTGTAAACAAGGTCTTTTTTCTTGTGGAGTTTTGTAATGTGTTAATAATAATAAACACGTCGGCAGATTATTTACCAAAATTAGCAGTGAATGTTTTATCGAAAGAAAATATCAGCGACCATTAGAAGATTTCTTCAAAGTGACAATGTTTGTCTGAGCAATTTTAGACATTACTCCCTATTTACGTTTATCATTTAATATATAGAAAAAACTATCATAGCAAACATTGTGTTTATTTTTTAAAGCGTGTTTCAAACCACCAAACTGTAACAAGGCCGTCTGTTCAACCTGGAGCGATTACCGATGTGATTATTGTGTCGAAGAGTACATTAGAACTAAACCAGGATTCAATGTCTATACTGGAAAACCGGATAATAGGCAATGTCAAAGTAAGTTTTTTGTTCCCCGGGCATCAGATCAGTTGCATGTCACAAGAAAAGAGTAATTTTTTTCAAATATATGTATGAGGTTTAGACACTTCTTATTCAAAAACGATTAAGATTATTCAAAATTTATTAAGTCATTTTTATTGTCGCTGTTGTTGAAAATTGTTGCTTCAGAGTGTTTCCATTTTATGCTTAAATAAAAACAATTAACTGTATACAAGACAGCTAGGTATCAAGTTTACTTGATGTGTTGATGAAACATCACTTACTAATAGCTAATCACTGGACAACTAGGGTGGCTGATTTCTGCCATTTCTTGATTTCGTGTCTTCGAACCTCAAAAGTTGAAGGCGAAGATAATATGTTCACTTGTCAAAATTTTGCCTTCGACTTTCGAGGGCGCCGACATGAAGTCGGTATACATTAAACGTTTTAAGCGAGATCTTCTTCTGTAGAATTATCGTGTCGGCGGGCAGAAATCTTCTTATCGGCGCCATATATTGTCGTGTCGTCGTGTTTTTGCATTAACATGATAGGCGAAGACACGATAGTTGACTAATTTTCTGGGGCAAAGACGCGAAATGGCTTAATTTAGCCACCATAGGCAACGGATTTAACAATATATGAAATTTTCTCTTAAGATGCAACAGAAATAGTTCCTATCTATTGCTGTGAATCTTTTTTTCTTTGATCGTTTTAACCTGTAGAGGCGTGCTCATGGACACATGGAGCAAGATGTTTCCCTGGAACTTGCACTGGTGATATGGTACTTAGCAAAGACTGTCAATGTGCGGTCGGATTCAATGGTACAAACTGTGCAACGGGTATGTACAAGAATATGGGTTAAAATTATCGTGTTCATTCTTTAAGGTAATACATTTTGCCTGACGTTCCAAACAATACCAAAATACAGCTTTACCTTTAATAATCACCAAACATTTTTGTTATTGCAATAATTATATTCCTGCCTTCATCTCATTGAAGCTAAAATAAGAGTGTACAATGATCTCTGCACAAGTACGTTAAATCGGTTGCTTATTACTAATGTGTCTCATGCGATATAGAATCCTTCTCAATCTTTTAAGAACTACACTCCGAGTCGCAATATGCTCTTTGTTCGCATTAATTATAGTGTATTAGAGATGATGTGAGGATATTTCCTCTGCTTTAATTGTGAATTCTGTTTTCAAGCGAGTAAGTGATATAACGTGACATTTAAGTTAAAACAATGATAACTTGTGTTGACTGAAAAGAAAATCAGACACGCGTAATTGATTTTCAACTCTGCTTAATATCTAAAAATAATACAGCATCTTATTTCTATAACAAAGGATACCCGTTGCCTCTAAAATATACATAAAATAACACTGCTTCGCCTATGGATCATGGTCAGTCTCTCAATGGCATATGGTCATATATTTTATGCTTATTTAACATGTATGCCGTTAATTCTAGCTACATCTGCGAAGAAACCGACAATTAAAGATTTCTTCTTAACCCTGGTGGATTCTTCAAATCATAAATTTATTGTGGATAAAGCATTAAATAAAACAAAATTCTGGACCAAAGAAACAGTTTGGGCTAAGCTAAAGCTGAAAGCTTCATCACACTATAAACTGGAGATGGACAGTGCAAAGAGACCCAACTATATAACACATTATTTGATCGGGATCCAAGACATGGACATTGGTCTCAAGTTGTTAAGAGGTGATTGGTTTAGCTGAGATGATATTCTGAATTAACTTGCAATTTTAAAGAACAATTAATGATTTTGACAACATAATACTCGGTCAATACAAACATATAAACCGCAAATAGTACAAATGTTATATATACACAAATCAATCAATGTTTTTATATTTATAAGCAAAAAAGGCTCAATGTTATTCAAGTTATCTATGAAATTATTCATGAAAAAAGTAAATATTTTGAAATTGTTGATATAAATTCTTTTCCTAGAAACTCGTTTTAAAAGGTCAGATATACAGTGTACTGTTTTTTGTTTGTTTTTGAATAACCTAACACCGTGTTTTTATTTCTGAAATTACGTTCCCGGTGTAATCTTAAAAAAGACAATCTGTTATAACAGCTAACAAAACACTTTTCGATTACTTTGTTTTAAGATAAAATGTGACAAAATGGTGAAAACATTTTTACAAATCTTGCAATTTCCAAAAATTTAACTAGTTAAATGTTTGCAGTCTTACGTATAATTGACATCCTCTCACAAAAATACAATCGTGGAAGGTTTTGGCAGTACTATATAATACAGATTTTAATCTATGAAGAGCAAACTATAACTATTCAAAATTAAGCGCTTGATTTCCTTCAAGTATTGAATCCCTTTAGGAATAAGCTTGTATTACATTTGCTTTATAGAATGATTTACTTTAACAGGTACGGAAGTGGCAGAAATGTCGATGGACGGAAGGTGTACACACTTTGCTGAAAACTGTGATAAAGAGATCCCGCACAAAGATTTAAAGAGTATAACGTCATGGCAAAGGATATTTAAAGGAAACTTTATGCATGGGGATAGGTATGGAATGAATATCGATATTATAGATGTATATTCAAAGATATATTCAAAATAAAAAAAATAATCTTATCTTTAGACCTAATCATATGTATAAATGTTAGATTTAAAAAATATAAATTTGAAAATTAACTAATAAACTTTTTTCTATGGGATTCGTGTAAATGGGTAATAATGATATTATGTAAGTACATAAGAATCATGACTTTATACTAATCTCACAAACTTAAATCTACTTTTACCGATATATTGAAGCTTAAATGTGAATACAAAATTTAAAAAAAAATCAATGTTTAAGATCTTCGTCTTGCTCTTTTTTTTTATTTCACTGATTGTAATTCGATTCGGTGTAACGCCGAAACAATGTTTTTGGAAATGTTTTCACTTTAACTTCATTATTTGTTTATAAAGTTACACTTATTGTCCACGTATTTCCTTACAGAATAAAATATATCGTATCTGCCAAAAACGGTGGTAAGGTGTTTTATCAAGATAGAAGTAATTTTAATGGGTCATACACAGAAAAGCAGTATTTTCTTAATGGTATTGTTACAACCGAATTTCTTGAACTTGAATTTGACATTTACCCACCTGTACATTGCTTTGAACAAAGTGAGGACTGTAAAAAAGATGCACTAACAGCACCTGATTTTCTTACCCAGGTAATTTAAGTAAATATAAACCTTCTTTATAGTTCGAATATCTATATATTTTAAGTTTTTGTTACATATGCAATTACAAACGCACTTGTATTTTCCTTTTTTTCAATTGTATGTATTGTGTTAAAGTTTTAAAGTAATTGAAACTAGTATAAAGGAGAAGTTATTTGCTCGCTTTCACTTATGAAAAGTGCACATCATGCTGTAGTCATGTAAAAATTAATCAACTCTGGTTTGTACAGTCCAAATGGTGATTTATTAAAACAACGTATTAAATAAAATGATGAACACTTAAAGCAGTTCATATCAAATATATAATATATTAATTGAAAATAAAATTCTCATTTATCATTTTAGCCGAAACTGACAGTGCAGTGGGACGGATGGAGTGACAGTAATTCTGGAATAGAAGAGTATGTGTTTTATATATGCAAATTAAAGAAGACAACTGACACTGGTCCACTTACAAATGGGAAAATGCTGTCTCCTAGAAATGCCAGTTACTCATATGTGAGAAAACAATTGTCTGAAAATTAAAGGAATTAGATATAAGGAAAATTCAAAGAATTGTTTTAGTCTTCATTTACAACTGTGCAATAAGAAATTACGAGAATCAAACAAATTATATATTGATTCACAACAAGACATTATCAGATTAGCAGGCAATACAGTTCAATTCTTTTAGACCCTTCAAGGTTAAAATATCAAAATACTTAGATTATCAATCAATTCATAATTATGTAATTATGTTGTAATATCTTAACTAGATGTTTTTATCAAACGGGAGAAAACTATTTAAAACATGTTTGGCGTTGCTTTCAGAGTTCCCTCACGCTAGATCTTGAAGAACCGGGTCCATATTCTATTAAAATTATTACATACGACCGGGCTAGAAACCACAAAGTTGCAAGGAGAATAGTATTGTTTGACAATGCATCTGTTGTGGATCTTCATGGAAATCAAAGTAGAGTCATTACAGGCCACAGCAAATAACTCGGATTAATACTTTAGCCGAATGTAATTGGGAAATTGTCTGGCCGGCGAAGATTCATTGAATATTATTGCATAGTGATGGAAAATGGCTAAATGAAGTTGAGGAAAGTAAAGATGTAAGCAGGGACCTTGATGATCGTCACGGAAGATCTGAAAGGACAATTGAAAAGATAGATAACATAGATGGTAATAAAGACCGATTTATAAATGTTGCGTTTGGCTGTTTTGCAGTCATTCTTTCTTTCTTGTATGCAATTTTATTTTAGATGACAATATGCTGCATCATACTGAAAATATTATCAATTTTTTCTTTAAAGAAAAACTAAAATCAGATTAAATATCATTTAGGCTTCTTTTTAGTTCTTTGATGGCACATGCTACAGTTACGTATAGGCAGAATAATAACCGGATAGAAATCATATAAACTTTGCATTATCTTCGAATATGATAACAGAAATGTTGTTAGATTGGTAACTGATGTTTCGAGCTATTTACTCTTTAATTAGATTTTATATGCTATTGTATATTGTTACATGAACAGATAGCATATTTATAAGTCTCACAAAACTTGTTTCATTGATTAATATTTTCCATTTTTTTCTTGGCCATGTTACATAACAAATTTATATAAACAATTGTGTTCCATTTTTTTTCATATAAGATAACTGTACTTGCCAAAAGCAACAGACAAAAAAGTTGGTGAAGAAAATTAACATAAATGCGTTTCTGAGGCATAGTTGTTCTTTAAAATATTTCATTTTTTCAGAAGAAGAAGTAAATAAAATACTCTTTAAATTCTTGGAATGTTTTCAAAATTAGTTGTAAGGAAGTCAGCTGGATAAAAAAGAAAAATGAAAACATCGTAAATTATCTGTCCTTGAAATAAAAAACAAACAAAATACTTTCACATTCACTCGAAAAGAGCTTGGTGACCTTCATTTTAATAATCTGCCATCGTATTCTAAGATTCGCAATTCTTTAATAGATTTATATTATGTAATTTTCATCCTGCTTATAACTCTTTTTTTATCTGTAGTATACGCTTTAATTATATATCTAATAAATACTGTTGCAGGAATAATTCGCTTTGAGATAGCTTTTTTGACCGAGTTCGAAAACAGTTCTAAATTCACTGCTTTCCAACGGGTACCTGAGGAGTACTTTCATAGCCAGAAAATGATATACAAAAATGAACAATTTCATCGATAGAGCAAGAAATTGACCTATCGTATACTGTGGATACGATTGTTGTTGGAGATATACGCGAGGATTACTGTAAACATTTGATGATAGATCTGTCGCCTCCAGTTATACAAAATTTGTGGCTGACAAAGGGAGACTTGGTCAATATCAGCGTTCATAGTGTTCTGGAATTACAGGAATTGACGTAAAGCATTGCATATAATTTGATTTAAGTAGTATGAACATTTGAAAGTGTTACATGTTGAATATTTTTGATAAAAACAATAATAATTAATAAATGTTAACAACAAACTTTTGGTTAGTACTTTTGCATTAATCTGTAGAATCTGTTAACCCTCAATCAAACTTTTAAATCTTTTTCAATACTAAAGTTTTCAAAATATTGTGACATTTCATCAATTTATGCATAACATTGTATTGGAAATTTCATATTCATGATGAGTATTTTTTCAGAATTGAATGGGAAACATTTGATTATCACAGTGGTATACATGAGGTGTCGTGGAAAATATTTGATAACTTTACAAAAAATGTGGTTGTTCATGGTAACTCCAACGAACCACCACAAGGTGAAACAAAGGTATTTCTATTCTTTCTATTCTATTTCTTTGGAAGTAAAAGGAAAATGTTCATATTTATTCATAAACTTTCTTAAAAATGGCTTTTATATTAGATATGACCTTTGGTGTTCTATTCAGAGTAGTTTTATTCTATCAAGTGCTTTGCATTGATTAATAAAGTAAACTGATGTCTGTCATACTTTAAGTTGGTATACAATGTTTCTAAATGATCATCGACAATAGCTATCTTGTTTCAAATATATTTTTCTTACCAAATGATTTCAATTTTCATACAGGATTTAAAGGAGTGTAATCAAAAATACGGTTTATATCCCCGAGGACCAAACTGCTACTGTTCCCCGTACAATGGATGCTTTCATAGACATTATCAGATCAAACCATCAGTTTCTAACGTTAGTAATGGAGGTTTACACTTTGGTAAAGAAATTGGCGATCATGATTATGACTATTATATCGAGGTTACTGTTGTCAACAGTGCTGGACTGTCAACAACCAAACATAAAAAGGTATTGTGTCAATATGCGTGAGTCATGTTTAAGTCATTCAATTCATTAGATTTGAATACGTTAAATTTATCATCATGATAAAGGTTGTATACATTTTTCCCATTACTAAATTAAGGTTACAGTGTGCAAAATGGGTTATTTAAGTAATTGTTTTTCATATACTTGATGAGTTTTTCTCTTATAGATTTTGGTACAAATTCTTAGACAAAAATATTAAGTGATATTTTAAGTTTGTTTTTTTTTTGCCTGCAAAACAAATCAGTTTTACATTTGAATGGACATTCAAATCTGCTTACAAATGTATACATAAAAAGTTCAGTTTCATTTTGAAAAGTCACCTGAATATTTTCGAAATACCATCATTTTGTTTTTATTAAGATAACAATTGACACGTCGCCACCACACGAAGGCAAAGTGCATGATGGTATTCCCGGAGATCCAGAAGTTGACTTTCAGCAATCTTTAAACCTTGAAGGACATTGGGATGACTTTTTTGACAAAGAAAGTGGTGTGTGGCTGTATTCATATGGATTTGGTGAAAACTGTTTGGATGAAATCGATCTCAATATACATTCTAAGGTAAGCTGATAAGGCATTTATAGAAATAAGTTAGAATATTGCAGTTTCAACCCCGATGCTCAATGAATATTTGAAACTTGCAGACATTATTAACTGTGTCTTTTTATAATTACAAATGAAATGTGAAGCCTCTATCATGTTCCATAGCACAGGCTTAGGCAGTCAATGTTCTCATATAAAACGGAGATAAAGAACGGGATAAAACATTGTAAACACGTACATGTATCTAGCTTTTGAATAAGGGAATAAAATCAATGCCTCTGTTTACTTTAACCTACTCTATTTATATATTTTGACAAATTTTTGCATTTATAACAAATCAGGTAGGATCACAATACAGATTATGATCATTTTCAACTAAACATCGCTACTACATCTATACCGTTCTACACATTTGCGAGTTCTGGTCCAGTTAGATTGTCGTAAAATTACGTACATTTGTGTGTATGCAGCTTTACAATATATATATAGATTTATTAAAGTTAATATTTGTATTGATTGAGAAAGTAATGGGAATGTATCACGTTGTCTCATGACTCATCTTTACATTATACGTATTCACGAATATTTTACAAATTTCAAAATTGTTTTATTTGAAGAAAATAAAGACAATAATATGTGATACATTGACAGGAATCTTAGGAATTTATAACTTATCTATATAATTTAGGTCAATTTGACAGTATGGACAGTAAGAGCTGAGTTCAATAGCACCCAACTGGCAAATTATTTTTCTCACAGTCATGGCATATAATCACGCCCTTAGGTCATAGTAAAACTTGTTTCGTTCTGACGGTGTTACGATGAATATTTACCAAGCTAATTGTATCCGAGGTTATTTTACACGATGCTGTGACGGCAAGCGGTCTCATCAAAAGTGATGTTACTGATACAGTTTATATTCTCAATAGAAACAGAGAATTGGAGGAAGTCTCTAATCCGTCTAAAGTTTGCAGGTTTGTTAAATTTTACACTTTTATTTTACTATACGAAAACCCTTAATTTAGTTTATGGTATTATATCGCTCAAACCAATACATGATCATACATACCTTGAACTAATTTTATTGTTTTTCATAGAGACCAAGCAACGACAGTCCAAGAATCCGTCATAAAGCTTTATCCTCATAAAAGGCATTCTTACGAAACTGTAGATGTTGTTGAATTAAATAACGAATGTAATGAGCTACATGGTGTTCATTCAGACTTGATTTCTTATATTACATCTGATTCAAAGGTAAGTTGCTGTAAGTTTTCTTAGCTTATATGTGATCAGCATTTAAATATTCTGAAGCTTGTATGAACAAAAGTAACAAAACCAGATTCAATAATTTGTTACCTAACAGACACACATGAATTATCTGAATTTAATGTTTCATTAGGTTTTACTAAAAAATATATTTGAGTCAGTAGGAGAATATCAAAGTCTTTTGATCCGTCATTTTTTTGATATCATACACGTTAATACATTAAAGACTTTCTTGTGTGTTACTAGATGTGAAATTCTTAAAATTGAAATGTTTATCCATTGTAGATCGACATATCATGGAATGTAACACCTGGAGCGAGTAATGTTCATGATTATGAAGTGGGAATAGCATCTGAGAATTCGAAATTCCCAGATGTTATGGATTTCACTTCATCGCATCATCATCAGCATATACGTATATTCCATCCTGGTATTTTTGACGGGGAACAGTTTTATGTCATGATTAAAGCGATCACTAAGTCATCTGTTACTGACATTAAGGTTATTCCTTACATTATTAATTTCACCAAAATGTTATCCCCAATTTATTTAGAAAATTAGAAATATAATCAGATAAATGAATGTTTTCATATAGACATAAGTACACAGAATAAATGATATCATAAATTTCATTCCATCGTTAAATGCTCACCCTTGCATTCTTCATTATTTATGTCACCTTTAAAATAGCAGTGTTCATTAATAAAATCATTAACTTAATATGTCCATTTTTATTGTTTAAATGAATTAGTTTGTGAAGAAACTGGATAAAAGCTGCTCATTTTATTGAGTTTTGCTGGAAGAATTTCATTAACAATTCAGAAAAAGATAAATAACATGATCAATAAACACCTTTCTATACAACATACTCATCTTGCGATGAAAACATGTAAATATGCAAATAATCAAAGTAAATGGACACATTTTAGATCATCGGGCCATTCGTTTACGACTCGTCAAAGCCAGATTTTACCGGAGAAATCAGCCTTTTTGTTGAGCACACAAAGACAGATACTTATTTGGTGGCAAAGTGGGACAAAAATGCATTTACAGACCATGGGGACCCTAATGCTCTACAGTATGAAGCAGCCATTGGTAAGTCATTGTATAATGAATATGATGTTGCTATTTTCAGTACTGTTATCTTTGTCGTTTTATTCGTCGACATTGTTGCTGTTGTTGATGTTGTTGTTGTTGTTGTTGTTGTTGTTGTCGTCGTCGTCGTTGTAAGGACATCATAATTGTATTAAGATAATTGTATTCATTATAGGAACAAAGAAAAATGGAAAAGATGTGCTTCCATTTGGTAGAATATCAACTGGGGGAAGTTGTATTTCACTAACAAGTCCAACATGTACTGCCTTTTCAACCCACTTACTTCCATGGCACTTAAATGGGGAAATTGACTACTTTGTAACAATAAAAGTAAGAGATACGACAGGTCACTTTGTAACGGCTTGCTCAAAGCCTTACAGACACAACATTGAGTTAGCATCGAGGGGTATTGTTCATGATATTGACGAAACAATCACTCAGGTATTAACATTTAAATTCACAGGTTATCAGTATATCACTCCTATATCTTTAGCATGTATCAAATGATAAAACTTTAACCCCGTGCTGTAATAGAACAACTTGAAATTTGAATTAATTCGCAGCTAAAGCTATTAATCTGTTTAATATTTTAATGCAGGGACGTGTAACAAAGCTCTGTTTTTGTTCTTTTTTGTACTTTTATTTTTATATACTTCATGAACTTTATTGGCCATAATCTTTCATCGTTATTTAAACATGCTTTTAATTTGTATGTGCTATTTATTTGTTATTATGTAATGGAGTGATTTTATAATAAGTCGGCTTTAAAAGCTCTTCAGAGCTGTGTTATCATATGTAGTATACCCGATTTTATAAAAAACATATTACTTTGACAAGAAAACGATACACCCCTTTTCATTAAATATCTTAAAATATAAGTTTTACATTATAACAAGCGTTTTAAATACAACTGCAGGTGTTACATCTTGTATACTATGATTTCGCTTCAAACGCCAAATTATGCTTAAATCAATTGAAGTGGATGTGGCGTGCACGCCAATTTTATAAAAGAACTTAACCAAAACATGATTTTAAAATCTTTAATTTCGCCTTGATATTTGGCTTGTTATGCTCTTTTTATAAAGATTGTTTATGTGTTATCCATTTAATCAGTATGGAATTTGTGATAAATTTCATATATGGTAATTGACCACTAATCATGTATTTATTTCAGTTTGTTGACATTGATGACATCGACTTTCAAACAAGTACCTCTAAATTAACAGCGAGATGGTCAGGCTTTGAGCACCCACATGAAGATATAAACTTTACTGTTTGCATTTCTAACACAACTTTCAAAGACTTCATGACATGTGCTTTTGTCGGTTCTGGGAATAAACATACATTTCATGGTCTTAAACTCAAACCTTATCAGGTATTACTTCATAAAACTATATTTATAAAATGCAAACGCTTAGAAAGCAATTTTAAACTGCATTTGACTTTGTATACATTTCAGCAAATAGTTCTGAAATATTACTCTATTACATTTTTTTCAATACAAAGGAAATAGTTTTTGGTATAACTTCATGTTAAATTCAAACAACATATTTTGTAAATAAAGAATAAAAGCAATATAATTTAATTTGCTTTATAATTGTTATAATAACTGATATTTATCCAAAACAATCATATGTTTCCAGACATATTTCCAAACTGTTATAGCAGAAACTGAAGCAGGAAATATTACGGCAGTTTCGGATGGTGTAACAGTGGTTGAGGAAGGTGGAGAAATAAAGGGGATTAAAGTATTTGATGGTGCTCGTTGTAATGATTCATTAGTTGGTGGTATGTATTAATTTATCGAATCATTTTAATTTTACCGATACTAATTCTGCATTTATAATCAATAAATAATGCAAGATATTTATTCCTTAACTGATTTACATTTATAAGTGCGTTGTCAAATAATATAGATGAATAATTATTTCATAAAAACCACTGTTTTATTCATCATCTATTTTTTCAGATCTAAACCTAACTACATCGCATCATGACGAGGTACATATCTTAGTTATAAATTAGAAGTGCAAATAAGAAACTAACATTATTAATTATTAGCGTTCTATGGTTGTTTTGCTTTCGCGTTATTGTTTGTAGAAATTGTGATAATGTAAGTGATGTCATTACAACTAAGTAAAATTCGTAGACTTTTTAAATGTCTCTTGAAAGTCAACGTGTATTGTAATGACATTTTATCAGCATTCCTTGTAGAATATTATCAACACATTTTGGAAGGAACTGCGCCAATATATAGTGATTTTATATTGCTTTTAAATAAGCACACACACGGCGCCCGCGCACGGTTAGTCATGTATATTTTTCGCTAAAAGAACCTAATTATTAACGTAGAAAACCCGCTAAACATCGTATGTTCCTTTCAAGACGTCATTTAAGTATTTTTTTAAATTGTGAACGTTATTTCCGTTACTTTTTGTTGATATCGCTAGAAACGCCAGACGCCGATATTGTTTACAACGGGAAAATGACGGACATGCGGTAATTAGAAAATCGCACGATCATAAAATTTTGTTGCCTACAAAAACATTTGAAAAAAAATCAACAGGCGAACAGAGAAAATAAAACGCACATTTGTGTTTAAGTGGCATAAAAGATTTAGTGATGAACGGGAAAACGGACATTACTTTGAGAAGCAGTAACGGTCATTGCGTAACGTTCAGACACAAGTTGTACATTATTATGATGTTGACGTCAATAATTCTTTGGAGTGTGCCGCTGTCGCCGACATGTGTTTATGTAGAATTAAATATTGTTGTAATATAAGAAGCTACTAAAATGATTTTTTCTGTGTTTATTTGTTATCAATTTTTTTCTAAGTAGTGTAATAATTTCAAATCAATATCTCAAATATATTTTACGCAACAAAGAAAGTCCATGTATTATTAGATAACCCCTCGTATATTCATACAAATGTTTTTAAATTGTTATTATTAACTTGGGAACTATATGAATCATCTGATTTAATATCACATAATATTTCATCACATTGTTTGTGTTAACAGATATTAATTTGGAAATATGAACTTAAAACTCTTTTGTTATAAGTTTCGATTTGAAAAATCAAGAGTGACATTTAAAACAAATCTTGTTTGCAAACAGGACAAACGTTTACTATGTACTGAGGATAGAGATTTCCAAACATCAACCAATGTGCTTCAGGCACACTGGACAATACCAACTGGAAAAGAACATTTCCTACATGACATACACTGGGCGATAGAAGAACGAGCACCAATTGCTAGTAAAAATTTGAACAACTTTTTAAGATATGACTTCAATGATATTTATCTCTTTATTAAGAGTTTGGTTCCGCAATTGAAAGATAAAGTATAACGATTTAAACAAACGCTGAGTTAGGTGTAAATGCAGCAGTTTTAATTTACGTGTCCATTTTGACACATGCAATATTCCGCTGAACATTTATATATTATATATAATGAAACTCATATTAATGGTTATTATTTAAAGTAGTATTATGCCCATCCAAGTGTAAATGGTGAGTGTACTGGAAAAGGACATTATATTTAGATTTTGTCATAATTGTTTTCAGTTATTTTATTTATTTATTTATTTATTTATTTATTTATTTATTTATTTTGTCTTATATTTTGGTTATAAGTTAACAATCGATAACTCACGCAATGCATGGACATTTCTATGAATAACCTTCGGTAATGATCATTTGATTTTTGTGTCGCCTCTACGGAGTAGTGGCGACATATAGGGATCATTTCTCCGTCATCTGTCTGCCCGTCTGTCCGTCTGTCTGTCTGTCTGTCCGCACAAACATTTTAGGTATATGAGCTAACTAACGATACACTGGGACAAAAGAGAACAAAGGACTTCATTCCGTAAATAATAGTTAGCTCATAAGGAAACAATAGTTAGCCCACAAGGAAACAAAAGAAAAGAACAATAGAAATAGCTCATAAACCTGAAAAATTGGTACGTCCGTCTGTCCGTCCTGTCACAAAACTTGTCCGGACTACTCCTCATAAACTACTAGTGCAATTTCATTCAAACTTTACAGGAATGATCAGTACCAAGTCTAGTTGTGCATATTGTCAGCATTTTCCGGTTTAATGATTTTTGTAAGAGTTATGACCCTTTAATAATTTCTATTTTTAAAGTTTGTCCGGACTACTTCTCTTATACCACTAATGCAATTTCAATGAAACTTTCAGGATTGATCAGTAGCTCAAGTCCATGCGCATATTGCACGAGTTTTCCGGTTGAATGATTTTGGCCGAGTTATGGCCCTTTGATAAAAAGGTGTTTTTTCTGTGTGTTGCAAGATACACAAAAGCTTGTCCGGACTACTCCTCATAAACTACTGGTGCAATTTCATCCAAACTTTACAGGAATGATCAGTACAAAGTCTAGTTGTGCATATTGTCAGCATTTTTTGGTTCAATGATTTTTGTAAGAGTTATGGCCCTTTAATAATTTTTATTTTTAAAGTTTGTCCGGACTACTTCTCTTATACCACTAATGCAATTTCAATGAAACTTTACAGGATTAATCTTAAGCTCAAGTCCTTGCGCATATTGCACGGGTTTTCGGTTGAATGATTTTTGGCCGAGTTATGGCCCTTTGATAAAAAGGTGTTTTTTTCTGTGTGTTGCCAGATACACAAAGCTTGTCCGGACTACTCTTCATAAACTACTGGTGCAATTTTATCCAAACTGTACAGGAATGATCAGTACAAAGTCTAGTTGTGCACTGTCTGTCTGTCCGTCTGTCACAAAACTTGTCCCCACTACTCCTCATAAACTACTGGGGCAATTTCATCCTAACTTTACAGGAATTTATGTCACTACTACTCCGATAACTTCTCCGTGTGTCATAAAACTTGTTCCAACATGAAATTGGCCATCATGAGGCGACACATGTGATCACTGATCGCTCTTGTTTTTATATTTAGGTCAGTTTGTTACCTTATCTGTTTTCATTTAAAATACTGGTTGTCAATCTGTTATAATATACAGTAAAAATGTCTTATCTGATGCAACCGTTGGTTATGTTCAATAAATAAAAACATAATTACATTTGTCAGACATATGGAAGCTTCATTCTGACTATGAACCATTGAGAACTAGCACGTCATACATGGAAGAAAGTGGTTTATCATTATCGCCTGGTCGAACATATAGAATATCATTGAAATTTTGTGCCAAACAATATTGCTTCAAACCTGTACATAGTAACGGTGTAACTGTTGTTCCAAATCCCCCTGTCACTGGGAATGTGTCTGTAACATATACTTTAAACTCTACATTAGTAAGTATTCCATATGATTTAATCTAATTTTCTACATACTTTAAACATTTTAAAAGTCTATATTTATATTGATGAAAGTTATGACAAATGCTCAAAAAAGTTTGCAATATCTTATTTCTCAAAATTCTATCATGATTATAAATTGAATTCAAAATAAAGCGACATGTGTATAAATTAAAGTATATAAAACAGTCAATCCGGTCTGTTAACATCATTACGCAAGATATAACCTAATGCTTTAATAAAACGATATTTTTTCTTTAAACCAGACAATGTTAATAAAGCTGTCAAAATTTATCTCGTTCTATATATAGTGATATAGTGATGAGTCAATATGCCTGACAAGTACAGTATTATACTAAAATTATTGTCAAATAACAGATTGACGTCAGTATGGAACCATTCAGAGATTCGGATATGGAAGATCTTACTCAGTCAAAAAGTGTTATGGACCATTATGAATGGACCTTTGCAGATGAATCTGTGTTAGGTCGACTGCTGACAAAATGGACAAGACTTTTCACATAAACCATCCAAACATGATAGTCAAGTAAGAATAGTTTCCAGACATTAAGCGTAAAAATCGATCTTGAAATAGTTTTGTACATGCTTGAATTATTAAAAAAAAAACTTTATAAGATGTTCTCGTATGTTATCTTTTATTTAAGTATACAACATTAGGGAAAATAAATTCGGTCTGAAATGTATTGCTTTCATCTTGTTTTATAAGTATATAATCATTTCTTGCGTAGTTAACTCTTTTTTAAAAGGTTTAATATCAGTCTAAACATACACTTCATACAATTTAATTATTTTATTCACAGATTGATTTTACTATTGACCTAAAGGAAGAAATAACTTTCACGAAATGTTGGACTTTGATAGTTCGAGGATATACAAAAGCTGGGTTGTCGGCTACAAAGTCTTCAGAAATAAAAGACTGCAAGGATCTACAACAAGTCAGACCTTCAGTAGTTATAGACGCTTCCGGGGAACCGTTAACAACGGGTGATATGATAAATCAGTTTTTAATGCGTATGTTACGGGAAATCCTGAAACATTTGCAATCGATACGTAATAAGTGTAGTATTTATAGAAAACTAAAACAACATGAAACACTTTTATAATTTTCGAATAGTACAATAGTACAGCTATTTTTCATAACTTTAACGACATTTCAGACCGCTTTAAACGCATTCGTGCAAGATTTTCGGATCCTGGATACTTATGATACACCTCTTTCTTAAAAGTTCTGCATGCAGCTGAAATTTCGATTTATAAGATTAAGCAAGGTGTAAGTGTACTTGTGCTTAGATTTAGGTCTTCGTCAAAGCGAGACACTAGTTATAACATTCAGTAGAGGTAATGAGAGGTAGTACACTTTAAGCAACAGATTGTCTTACTAAAATTGTATTGATTATTCAGAAAGAGGCATGGTCATTTTAGAACTGCTTCATTGAATCTAAAAATAAATAACATTATTAGAATTAATATTTACAGAAGATAAACACCTTGGAAAAGAAATTTTCTTGGATGAAAATGATGTATGGAAACAATCGGACAGAGATTATACCCCGTATAGTAACATGCTTAGTGCAGTGTGGCCAACATTTAGGTAGTTATATCAAGATGACTGATGTTTTGAAATGTTATCTCCAACACATTCCTTTTAGTCATATATCAGACCTATTAAAACACAGATACACCTGGAGCAGCCTTTAAGAACTCACAAGTCCGCGCTTAAAGTGTTGATATTTAATATTTAACAATTCAAGGGGTTGTGTCTCTTTAAGGAAACGACGACAACGTAACTGCTAGAATATTCCAATACGTTACATTTTCTGTACTCAAAACCAATTATTACAATTTTTTTAAAACTTTTCTTGAATCATAATAATCTACTAGTATCTTTTTGTAAAACAAAATCAGCTTTCTGTTTTTAAAACATGTTAACATACTGATTTCTTCCAGACATTCAGAATACACATGGGCAGTATTATTAGTAAAAGTAGACGACCCAACTGTGTTTTACGACAGGTCAAATAAGCTGAACTTGAATGACCCATGCAAACATCCCGATGCTATTAAATGTGGTCAAACAGGTTTGTAAATAAAAGTCTTCAATACACGTTCACGTAGAAATTTAATGCTATTAGGTAACTCTTGGCAAGCAAAACTATCGAAACAAAATTTGTTTTGAAACAATAAATCTTTTACGATAACCATCTTTATCAAATTCATTCCAGAACATGAATTTGTCAACGTTGAATTTAGTCCTAGAGAGCTTGCACATGGAAGAAGATATATAATTTGTATTCACTCTAACGCATCTAAGATAGAACATGAGTTCTGGGACCAGGAATTACAGGAAATAGACGAATGTAGCAATGGAATAACAGTTGATCTTACACCACCAGTTGCAGCCGATGTGTGGATAGGAAATGAGAAGGACGATTTATTTCAAGTAATGTGCTGAAAATAATTGACAGATTAGAGATGTTGATTTTTATTAAGACTCCTAGTTTGCTTATTTTTTCGTTAATTCTTTTAACATAAAGGTTAAAGAAAAGGACTCATTTTCACCATAAAATACGTTGCTTTCAAATTGGTATTTATTTATGTTAATATTTGGAAAACAGTGAAAACTTGTTTAAACAATGTTGCATGTTATGTTTTTAGTCCATGGCATGCCTCTTATGCATATAACAGTTCCTTTACCATGGCTTCATTAAACAACTAATCTGTTTGTCATTAATAACTGTAATTTACTACTAAACTCTTTTAATGAAAGTAACCAGTTCTTTATAGAAATGTTTTATCCATCCCTATATAGTATATGCTTCTCTTAAAAGTTAATAGTTGTCTCGTTTTTCTTCATTTAAAGACATCAACATCAGAACTGTCAGTGCATTGGAATTCGTTCATAGATGTTGAAGAGGAGGGATATGCCGCGCATATTAGTGGTGTAACTCACTACAAGGTCGCCTTAGGTAAGATACATTTCTATGCTCCCTTAAAGACGTGGTAGTTTTGTCATGACGACTAAATGATAACCCAAAAATGATATGATTTGCTGAGTGAAACTGTATCGAATTTTTACAAAAACAAAATACCAGATTTTTTCAAAGATTGTATTAACAAACAGTAATGTAAGGAAAACAGGCCCGAATAACTAATTAAATAGCACACAACTTAAGGTTTCTATTATCTGTCATACGTTTTAAGATCATGGAGTTTTTCATATAAACATTTTACACAAAAGTGTGTCATTCGCATTGAAAAAGGTAAATATGTGTACTGTGCAAAATACTTAACGCTGTTCTTCTGATAGGTTTTAATCATTTTAGGAACTACATCAGGCGGTATAGATATAAAACCGTTCACAGATGTTGGACTAACAAATCATAAGACATTCCATGACCTTAAGCTACAAAACGGACACATCTACTTTGCTACGGTTATGGGTAAGATCTTTATATTGTATTAATGTTTTAGTAAAATGAGCAAGTGGTCTTTTAACGACAAAACATTGACGTAAAAGACAGAAGTTAAATGTGATGTTGTTTATTGCGTTTAATTATTAACACCATCAGCCCATTTCTCCAGTAATACCAATTAAGATTATAACTTAGCTACTAAGCATATTTTAAGCCTAATAGAAATTAGGGTTTCTATGGTTGCTTACGTATCGGAATCTTTCAAGCAGTCGAAGGAAAAGCCAATATACATTTTCAACATTGAATGGGCATCCAATTACATAATATATATGATAGTATAATGTAAATGTAAATGCTTTTTTTATTATTATAATTATTATAATAATTATAAACAATGCAACTACTGCATTTTTACCAATGCTTTTTTTAAGCTTACGATTTTACGGGGCAGTTTTCAAGTTCGAAATCTGAAGGCATCAAGGTAGACACAACACCACCACAATTAAAAAATGCAACAATTACTCTACCCTCAAGGCATATTTCTGACACAGAATTTATAGAGGCTTGGTATGTGACTCTTATTTTATTATAAATTTGAACATATGGCAATTTATATTGAGGTTTTAGAAATGTATGAACGAATTGAATAACAATATTATATAATTTAGATGTCGAAGCTGAAATTAATAGATTTTGTGATCATATTCAAACAAATGCATTATTTTATTTAAATGAAAAAGTTTTTGATGAATTTAGTAAAATTAATGACTGTGCATGAATTGTAATGTTTGTTTGGTTCCACATATGAATTCCTTCATAACAGTGCAGATAATGTTTTAGTTGGACGGATGTGTTTGTTGATATGGAAAGCGGAATATCACATTATAGTTGGGCAGTAGGTACCCATGCGGGCTATGACGACATATTTCCATTTGATGATACAGAAGAAGAATGTGCAAAGACACCAGAAAACACACCTTTGACCTTAAAAGAGGGTCATGCATACTTCGTTACTGTGAAGGTGAACATAATGTCAAATTAATATACATTAAATATATTCAAAGTTTTGCTTAATAAATTAACGAAATAAAACAAACTCCTAAATTACAAGAATAATGCTTCTTGATTCTGATTATAGTACATGTAACCATAATATCAAGGCTGTATCGATTGAGTGTCATTTGAATAATTATATTTCAATTGACTTAATACTGTATAAATACAGTGCTGTATTAGTTATGACGGGAATTGTACTTCAGCTTTTAAAACAAATACATTTATTAATACATTTTAAGTTAAAATATACGATTAAATTATCGTGTAATTGCATTTAAGGCTCATAACAAAGCTGGATTGTACGCAGTAACGTCATCATGGGCATTTACAGTAGAGGCAACACCACCAGTTCCTGGTAAAGTGTACGATGGTCCACCTGGTAAAGATGGGACATGCATCGATGTTGATTATATAGAAAATCATTCCACGTTGAAGGCTCATTGGAAAGGCTTTCATGACCCACACAGCACCATGGTAGAATATTTTGTGAATATAGGATCATGTAAAGACTGTGAAGATGTCTTGGTAAAACAATCGGTCGGTATTAAGACAGGTAAAGAATTGGTGTGTTTGTATCAAAATTGTCTAAATTGTATTTTTAAAAAAATGCATTTAACCATAAAAGTTATTGTGAGGAAAGTGTTTTGTCGTATAAATATATTTGAATCTTTCCTCCCTATAATCGTACACAAAACAAAAGCAAAAGTCATATCAATAAATCCTTGATCATAATATTCAAGAAAATTGCAACGAGATCGAAAACAAACTTTTTATAAAAAGTATTTGTCAATATATATTGTTGCTGAAACATATCTCAACAGAAAAACATTGGATGAAAATGATGAAATGAATAAAATGACGAAATGTAATACATTTGTTTTGTTGTTGATGACGTTATAGATGCTGTTTCTGCGATTTAAAAAAGAAACTATATTTGGTAATTTTCTTATTTTTTTATTTATTGAATCAATAATTGATGTAACATTATATTTAATTTAATTTTGGTTGTATCTTTTGCAGATGTTGAGTTCACATTTTTACAACTGTCGGAAGGACTTCATTATTATGTGACTGTAACGGCGTGTAATACAGGTGGACTTTGTTCATCTGCGACATCAGATGGCTTTGTTGTAGATTCAACTCCACCAATACGTGGAATATTGACAGATGGACCATTAGAAACTGAGTTACAGTATCAAGCATCTAGGTTTGGAATTGAAAATTTAAGAAAATTGCATATTTTTGAGATCATTAATAAAAGCCGTTCCATTGAAGACGTTTAAATAACAAAATTGTTCAGTTTAGCTCCTAATTACATGTAGTTCTTTCTTGTAGTAGTCGTACTATATTTACAAATATATTAAAGAACATAACAGATGATTAATTCAATTCTGATATGCTGTTTAGACCTTAAAATATTGGCTACCTTTTTACACAATACTGATTGATTCTCTGATTCTATTGTTAAGATCGGCGCTTCTCTTCCAGGAACTACATCGGTTGTGAGTGGGATAGTTTTACTGATCCACAGTCGGATATATCACACTATGTATGGAGAGTAGGGACAACAAAAGGTGGTGACAATATACTACCTGCTGAAGATGTACACAGGCATGAAGAGGCTTTTATTTTTGATCTTCAGTCAGAATATAAAAAGACTCTACCAAAAGGGGTTCGCATTTACTGTACTGTACGTGCTTATAACAGAGCAGGTAAAAAATGTCTATAATCTAAACATTGACTACTAGTATTTATTGCTAAAGCAAAAAAATATTTATTTTTGTAAATGGGAAAATTTTTAAAAAATTTTTAATGAAAAATAAAATATTTTTTAAAAATGGTGAAAAATTTAAATTTTTTTCAGCTTTGATACTTACATTGTAAAAACCCTATTATAAAAAAACTTTCCTACCTTGAAATAAAAGAAATTTTTTTTTATTTTTAACAAAACTTTTGAAAGAACTATACCCCCCTTGCGGTTTTTAAAACCTACCTGGGGGCAAGGGGTTTTTGATGAAAAAACTTACCATCGGTCAGGGTTTTCCCAAACCGTGAATAAAAAAAACCAATTGGGGGAATTTCTAACGGGGTTTTACCCAATATCGTTTTTCTCCTGTAGGAATGTATGTAGAAGCGACGTCGAATGGTTTTATTGTTGATGATAGTCCGCCAGTATTTACAACAAATCTTACAATGTCACCAATCGGGACTATCAAAACAGGAACTTCCGTGTCAAGGACGACTCTGAGAGTTTATTGGGAAGTCAAAGATGATCAGTCGTTCATTGAAACTCAACATCTGTCTATTGCTTCACATATGGGAGGAGATTTCAATTTGTCTTCCACAAAAGTATGCATTTAGTAATAATCTCAATGGCAGTTTGTGAAATTTGTTAACTATTTAGCAGTAATCAATCTCATAAAGTAGTATATCAAATATGGTAGTAAAATTGTTCTGTTTTGTAATTTTAACATTTCGCGTCGTCATTTGCTTACTTATAAATTTAACTTATCGTATATATATTTTAGGCCGGCTGTTACATATGTTACATATTTTGGACCAAATGAATAATTAATCGTGTCTTGTTTACAATTTAAAAACAGATTGAGGGAATTGTGAGAGATTACACATTCACTGACCTCGACTTCCACGATGGAAGTTTTTATTGCATCAAACTGATATCCTGTAATGGTGCTAATCTATGTTTGACATCAATGCTTGCAAATATTCTGGTAGATAGCACTCGACCCACACCAGGTAATGTTAGACTATTTTGATTTAGAACAAGGGGATTTTTAACTATTGCTAATGATATATAACATATATTTTCCTGAATATGAAGCGTTATTTTAAGTTTTAATTCTCAAAATATTCTAACCCGGTGGCAATGTTTTAATATCTAAATTATATGTACATTGTAGTATATAATTTTTTCTATTTCAAAACATATGATAATGAATACTTTAAAAAAATATGAAACCCGAGTGTTCTATATGTTATTTTCTCTTTCTATCTTTAAAAGATGTAAAAAGAATTATATGTTAATCTGTTTAGAGAATTTAATTTATTAAAATTTGAAATAATGCATATGAATAGGAACTTTTGCCATAAATACTGACCATGCAGCTGCTTTGGATAGACAGCCTGAAGATTGGATGGAGTGGACAACCATATTTATAAATCTGGCTTGGCTCGGTTTTGAGGACTTGCACTCGGATATCCATTCTTATAATGTCAACTTTGGCAGTCAGTTCATGGACAATGATTTAAATGAGGTATATTTTCTTGTTGGTTGATCGAATTTAAGTCACGTGGACACTTTAATGGTCACATGGTGATTTTCCAGTTTACAGACGGAGGAGGAGCTTTGATGCTCCTTCGTGCATAATTTCTGGCGCTTATTGGCAACTTTGTGAAACCACGATCATCCAGTCCATAAGCTAGGTGAATCAATGCATCAAATGAGAGAATTCAAAGTCTCTGACAAGACTCAAGCTCCAACGTTGAGAGGCAGCAAAGAATTTTTGATATTTTTCATACAATAAACTATATTTGGCAGTTCTTCATAAATTAACATACGAACATAATTTTCTTTTAATTTTCCGTAGTAATCTTTATATTTAGCCGTATGCCATTAATAATTTCCGTTACTTTTTTACTGACATTACATTGGTAAGAAAATGTATATGCCTTGAAATTGGTTGCATTTATATATACCTGTTTTTAGAAACAATATGCGAATGTTCATAAAGTCTTTAGCCATACGTCACGTGTGATGCCATAAGTAATACTAATTATGCATTAACAAAATCGAGAAGGGTTGTTTTGTTGTTTTTATTATTATTTATTTCATATACAAAGGTTCCTCATACACCAATGATTGTGAACCACGATGTTAATGCAACGTTTCATGAAGATGGAAAAGTTCAAACGTTCAAATTCCATACACAAAAGCTTAGAGAAAACATGACAGTTTACATAAGTGTTACAGCAAATAATCACGTAATGTCTGTCAATTTACTTGAATATATTTTCCTGTACTTATCTCTATTCATGGGATCGATCATTGCATTCTACTTTCTATTCATGTAACATTAAATAATTCATTTGTAAAAATGTTTGAAAATGATCAATGGATGCTTCAACACTATCGTTATAATATTATATATATTCAGTGAAATTTAACTATACGCATCATATAAATTCAAGAATAATATTTTACACTTTTGTTATCTTGCAATTATATATTAATTACAAGCAATAAATCATACGTTCAGCTAAAATTATATAATGACAGGTTGGACTTTCTAGTGAAATAGTCCACTCGCAATTCAATCTCTTGTTTGGAGGGATAATGGAGCTTGTACGTCGATGTGACAGTTTTTCCTGTGAAGGACACTGTGTTTGTGCCCCACATGGTAAGCTGTGTCACAGCAACAAGCATTGTAACGATGTCAGTGGATCTCGTAAGTATTGGTTTTATATCCTGAATGTTATTGTCTTCATGTTTTAGCAAATATTAGGAAGTAATTTACAACAAAACTCTCTTATGTGCATTAAAATGTAATAAAATATCCATAATAAAATTAAAAAAACGATTATCTACAATATGGTATATACTTGAATGAATTTAATTTACCTTTCCTAAAGATTGTAAATTATTTTTTATACCCACAGGTAATAATAATACTCTTATTGAAGTCGAGGACTATCTAGATCTACGATTTCCAGACAACTACCCTCATCTTTTTCATTCGCCATTTAATAGTATACTTGGTTCCAAATGGAGAATCAGTCATTTAATGGGCAACCGTCCACTTTGGTATGAGTCTCAATCTACTTATTAATAACGATATTAAAGTACTGTTTTTCCCAATTTTATGTTAAGATACAGATACGACACAAATCTTTGTGCATTATGACAACAATATTATAATTGCTCTGTGTGGAATAAATATAAATTTGCAGGATCGCAATATTATTTGCAACACACAATTTTTCTTTCTGAATATGTGCAACCACAAATGATGGTATCGTCGAATGCTAAGTATTTAATCTCTTAAAATTGATTCAAGGTACGAGTGGAGTGTAGGTGAAAGCGACCATGACACCCCGCTTGGTGTATTTGATGTGGTGAAAGAAAAGGTGTGGCATGAAATAGGTCAAAACAAGGACATCGTTTTCACAGTTGATAGAGGTAGACATCAATCAAAACAGAATAATGTGATTATATTCTTTTTTCGGGTGCATAAAAACATGCACAAACGAAACAATCCTAGAAAATACTAATTAATTTTAGAATTACAAACATAAACGATAATGTAAATTTACCAACAAAATATATCGACAAAGAGCCTTTAAAAATTATAAAGGGATTATCAGTACGCAGCAGTTTAAATTATTTACATGAGTTAAAAATTAGCCAGTTTGCCTTGGCTAGTGATCGTGTTCATAATATTTCAGGAAGGCCTGTGCTGTTTGAATCTACGTCTTATTCTGTGTTTGTTCGCGTTTGGTATAGCAGTGATACGTATGCAATCTTTAAAAGTGCCGGTGTTACAATATTCCACACACCACCATTATCGATTGTTATAAAGGGAAGAGCGGTCAAGGAAATAACTCAACAGTCTAATAAAGACGTTGATTTCGTTACAAGAAATACCCAGTTCCGTGCCGACTGGACAGGAAAGTTTGGAGGCGAAATATCAAAATATCATTTGTACATAAGCTGTCATCCTGGAGGTAGTATATCTTTGTATCTGACATAACTTTATTGCTAATATGTAAATGCCTGTCTTTGCAGTCGGATAATCAATCATTCTATAAACATTTAGCATTTAAATCTCGCCAATTATAAAAACCTATTTCTTAAAAAAAAAGAAGAACGTACATTTCGGTTCGTCATTTATTTCGAAGGATTTGGACAATTCCACAATTTCAGTTCGTGTTTCTATCTGCTAGCTGTTTTCAAAATTGTTAGGTTTCACTCAATCAAAACTATGATATGGTGATAGTTTCGCTTTCAATAGCCAGTTAGATGCCATAAGACATAATGACCATTTTGTCTGAGAACCATTTGCTTTTTTAAATTGTCTGCGTATAATTTTTATCATTATATATATTATATAATTCTAGATTGTTTTTTATGTTTTTTGTGTTGTTTGTGTTTTTATTTTTTTAAGTTTCTCTTTTTTTGCATTGTTGTTGTACTGTTCATATATTGTCATTCTGAGGGATAGAGATTCTTTGCAACATTCTGCGTACTGTTTGACTTTACAGGTCACGATCTGCATGAAGTAACAAAGAACTTGCAACCTCCTTTGACTAGTTATAACATTACCGGATTGAAATACGAAGAAAATACGAAATACTACACAATAGTGCAGGCATTTAATCTAGCTGGTCTACATACTACGGAGGTATCTGATGGATTTATGTTGGATTTAGAACCGCCATCTCCAGGGATAGTCATGGATGGACTTGGTATATGTTTATTCAATGGAAATATTAAAGTGACATTATTCTCATAAATTCATTGTCAAGTTGAGCTAAATTGACTTTATATTTCAAAAGACTGACAGTTTTAATGATGTTTGACCAACAGATTATATTGGAAAATGTTTAGGATAAAATTTAAAATCTGCATAAAATATAAAAATACTGCCCCACTCCTTTTATAAATTGAACGTTACATGATATTTACTGAAATTTCATTCGAATCCGGTGGTTATTTTTTGTTTATGCGAAGTAAATTATTAAATCAGTAGGAATTATGGCAAAATGAAAATTTATTTTGACTCTCGCCTGTGCACTCACTAAATACCTTTAGATGGGCATAATGTCACTTTAAAAAAGATAACTTTAAATATTAAGTGTACTGAACAAAGGCAAATGATTTGGGTTGGGTTTTCCCAGCTAATCCGGAGTAGATAACAAACTTTTATTCTTACAGCTTCGAAAATAAGCCCGACTACAGGATACAGATATGTAAAATAGAAACAAACACTTATATAGGTTATCTTTATAAATAGATTGCGCGTAACTGAAAATCAAACAGTGAAAAGCGTTGTTAAATAAACCATGCGACTGGCTGACAAATAGGCACTAATATTCCGTGCGTACAGTTAGAGAAGACGTTTACACTGCATATACTAGGAAAATGATTCTTATTCTTTTCCCGATATTTTAATAGTTCATTTATATTAACTTTTTAGTTTTACTGGACAAGCACGCTACAAGCGACGTCAACCGTGTGCAGTCCTTCTGGCATGGTTTCTCCGATTCTGAATCTGGTATCAAAAACTATGAATACTGTATATCCTCTGGCGATTTACCAGGGGATTGTGATATTAAACCACTTTCACCGATTGGGATTGCTACCGACTTAGAATTTCATCCTGATATTCCATTAGAACATGGTAAATAAATCGCTTAAACCTTTCGATTATTTACATATACTATGTTCTTGTCAAATGATGTGTTAAATTTTTGTAACGTTTTGTATACATATTTGATTTCCATAATAATCTCCATCTAACTTCATTAACATTATCATTTCATTATCATTTTTTTAAATTAGTTCATTTATATGTGCGACTGTTATTAAATATTTACCACAAGTATATATTCTTATTATACAAAACCAGGTGGCACTGTTCGAGGTGAGGTTCGGGCTCGTGATGTAATAGGACACGTCTCTGGGCTTGTTTCTTCGAATGGAATTATTATTGATACAACAGCCCCTGTCAGGGCGAAACGTATTCAATGTCAGCCCAATTCATTATCGGACGCATCTTTTGAAAATATTGCAAACTATGAGGATAACACGACAATTTGCGACAACATAACTGAATCACAGTGGGATTTATCTCAAGATACTTGCGTTACCCTAGAGAAGTCCAATATGGCACAACATGGCTCTATCAAACTTCATCTACAAGGCTCGATTTTACAAAAACTTAACACCAAAATGCATGGCAAATACAGGTTAATTTCCAAGTTTTTTTTCTTCATTTCTAAATTATCTTATGTAAGATTTAAATTCTCTTTCATAAATTGTATGTTCTAAAAATGATATCTTTCTAACTCATATGTTACTTATTCTTTCTCGATATGAACAACAAACAGTAAAATTTAATATACTTTCAGACTTATTTTCCATACATCTACAATACCATCTAAAGTATTGCACCTATCAGCTGTTGAGGGCTACGTTCAGGTAAATGATCAACGACACGTGTTCATGATGTATAGTAAGCCAAATACTGATACATATGCATGGCAGAAACATATTTTCTATTTCCATTTGGATACTAATACATCCATAGTAGAGTTTGGCACTGTTAAATCGCATGCCGCGTTTGCTATAGACGGAATTGAGTTTCAACTTTGTGAGGTTTCTGCAAATGAAACAGACGAGGCAGATGGACATGTCAACATTCATACAGTATTCGTTCACGATTGGTCGTCAATTCATGCGGAATGGTCATTCATTGACCCAGAAACGGACATTCTTGAATACATGTGGGCTATTGGTAATACGCTTAAATTGTGTCACTTGTTTCGTTTACGTGTAGCAATTAACAGACTTTTAACAATACTTAATTATAAGTTTCGCACTTGACTAAGTTATTTACAGCTTTTCATTTGATCTTCAAATTGCAATGCATTATGACATAGTGTTTAGCACCTATCTTTCAACTTTTTTATTAAACTTAATTAATCTCAATATCAGCTGAACTGTATTGACATATCTTCAAAGGGTGCGCACCCAAAACGCTCGCGTTTTTATCATTCATTTGTTTCCCATATATATCAGGTACTGTTAAAGGAGGGACTCAGTTACAGACATTTAAAAGTGTTGGGAGACGAACGTTTGCTAGCAATAACACTTTAAGACTGGAACATGACACGGTGGTATACGTTACAGTTATTGCAATAAATGCTGCAGGACTTCGAACAAGAAGCTACTCAGATCCAATTATGATCGATCTTACAAAACCTGAATGTAAATTTGTTAACGATGGTCCTGTGCAAGGTAAGTTTAAAGTTGAAAATAATAAGGCGAACGTTCATATTATAGACAGATACCTCAAAAAGTAGTAGGGTAATCGTCATTATTCTTTATAAATTTGTTGTGCTAGTTTATATTTCCTTTCTTTGTCTATGTTTGTATAATGTTGCAATGTTATTGGAATTTTTTTTCTTTTAGAGACAATGACAGAGTAAAAATACATATTTATTGTTACTTCTAAGCTTAATATTAATTTTGTATCGATGATGGCTTTAAAGAAAAGAAGAAAACAAAAAGAATTTAAGCTTAAAAATGAAAGGTCGCTTAAATATATTCTAAGATTGTTATTACAGGTCAAGATTTTGATTTCATGAGAGGGCTCAAACTTGATTTTCATTGGGAAATGTCCGATCCTGAGTCTGGATTGAAAACATGTTATTGGGCATTAGGTAAATTGTTTTGTACAATGAGACATTCTAATTAGTTATTTTCCTCACTTTGATCGTTTTATTATTATTATTATAACTGTTTTTTACTGAAAAAAAATGATTCAATTAACTAAAAATCTATTCATTAATATTCCATGTGTGTTAAGATTTCTGCATTTTATAATTTTCTTACGCAATCGTTGTCAGTCTATGTTTTCTTTATTAAAAGAAAATTATTTTTTTTGTCAAATTCAACGCTTGATGATTTTTTAATTGATTTCAATTCTACATTATACATAGGCACTTCTGCGGGAGACACATCAATCGAAGATTTTGTCACAGTTAAACCTGATCAACGGAACGCAAGTAAAACGTTTCTAGGACTTCCTAAAGAAAGGGTGTATGTAACTATTAGATGTACAAATGGGGCTGGATTAACACACACCTGCTCATCTGATGGTGTTAAGCTCGTTCAGAAACCACCATCCGTTGATAACGTCATATTAGAATTACTGACAACTTCAGCAACTCAGTACGAGCCACGTGATCATTACCATGGCAACAACACTGAAATACGGTTTAGATGGACTGGGTTTAAGACTGATGATGGCGTACAAAGCTACTTGGTAAAATATTATTCAGATATTACCTTTAGATAATATTAATAAGTTTTTGTTGCAACATTGACTTCTAAAAGGAGGCTAGTATGAAGAATTGTTTTGAGAATAATTTGTAAACATCTTAGAAAAAAGGCTTAAATTATTGACATTCCAAACTATGTCAGTTTGTATAAGAACGTAAAATTTAATGATAAATAGTTTGATTAAGGTAATAAATAGTTAATGTCAAAAAGAAGTATCTTCAGAAAGAGATATGTGAAAAAGGTGTTTCCATTTCATATAGCTTGTTTACCTTAAGGTTGTTTACGCTAACGTAATTTATGGCATAATTTGTATAAACGAAGTATGAGTTTGGTTTCGGTTGTCTCAAACGATGAACATTCGTTTCATTCACTTTTGTTTTATTTAAGATTGCACTTGAAGGAGACAAATTATCGACGTCCGAAATAGTTGGAAGTTTATCCTCTGACTACAGTTACGGAAGTTTCACAGGACTAAACATGATGGACGGAAAATACACTGTATCAGTAACTGGTATTAACGAAGTTAAAATGTACAGCCAGAAAACATCAGACAATTTTGATTTAGTCACTGTTCCACCAAGTATTACAGGTTAGTGTCTTACCATTTGTAAATAAGCGTACAGGTGGACAAGATATTTTAGAGATATAACGTAGAATGTATTAATGTACAAAATTATATTTATACATATAGCTGCTAAATAATTGCCCAATCTTGCATTGAATTTCTTGTACAGGCAGAATATATTTTTCCTTTTCATAAGGTGATATATATATCTTGCAATTTCATTTTCAAATACCAAATACATACAACAAACACGTGGCTACTTAAACTCTTAGATATAAAATTTGTTATTCGAAACTAAAACGTATCATCAAATTTAAGGATCACCTATTAAGACTAATTGGGTAAAAGCGACATCAACTGCTACCGCATCATGGGAAAACGTGTTTGCATCAAATGACCCACTATACTATGAAGTGTCGGCAAGGTTGTCAGAAGGTGGAGAGGGAGATCTCGTACAGTGGCAGGAAACAGTGGATACAAAGATTGAAATTGTTCTTGATACAAAGGAAATGGCAAGTGCAGGAGTAACTGTTCGTTTTTCTGTCACTGCAATATCGCATGTAGGACTGTTTACAATTGCTCATGGCGACCTTTTTGTTTTGCCATAACGAACAAGTGATCTTGATGTATTAACGCTATTTTACACTTCCATTTAAGTATCTTTAATGAGCATTTCTTTGTTTTCTTTTTTATTTCCAATACGCAGACTAATTCATAAGGTATATATGCGATATGTGATGTAGTTAACTAACTCTTTGTTGTTTTTTATGTGCATTTTTTGTTTTAATAAACAAAACATTTAGGAAAGACAAATGGCATATGTGACAATGTTAACTGGCTTACCTTTTTTCAAAATAATCATTAAAACATATTAATCACTGGTTTAAAATTTTACTAATCATTTTAAGGCATGTTTTATTACGTAAGTGTTTGAAATTTCTGGAACATCAAACGAGCTTTCATATTTCACAGAATACAGGTATAGATTATCGTTTCCATTTTTTTTTTGAAGAATTATAATACGAGTGCTTTACTATTTGTTGTTATTTTCTTACTTTTGTTATACAGTACATGAAAAAGTGTATTTATGATTTTAGAAAACCGTATAAATACTGAGCAACAGAAAAAACGCTTATGTGCAGATATTTAACACATCGGAAATACTTCTGTGAACACCATTAAAGCGCTGTTCTCCTTAACAATTGCTTTATGTTGCCTATATTATATTGTATATAGCTGTTGTCATAATTAGTCTTTGGAACTATCCGAAATCATACATAAGAAACATTGAAATCTTTAGTGTCAGGGTAATTATTGGTTTCGTGTACTTATAAATTGAGAAGAGAATCAACACGTTTTCTACAGCTCAACTTAATCATGACTGGTCGTCCCAGGAGAGAGAAAAACAAACAAAATGAAAGCTGTCATGTGCATGCCGTTTAAGGTATCAAAATGCGTTGAATTTAAAATTCCTGTTTGGCTATACTAGCCATAGTCAATGCTTTTAAAGACAACAGTGCAACCAGTGTGTGTATAATTATATTGTAACAGAAGGTACAAAAAAGCGTAATATATTTAGCAACTGAAGGCTATCTCAGTGTTGACATTATGAAAAAGTGGCGTCTGTGATCGAGTGGATATGGTCAATGTATTCAATTCACTTTCTCCTCACCGCTATGGGTTTAAATTCTTCCAGTGATTATTTATTCTTTAAGGTGTAGAAACTATCCAGTTAGCTTACAAAACGTACTTAGGTGTCTCATTGTATTGGTTTAGTACAAAATTTCGAGAAGGCATCCTTAACTTTAGCCGTCAGTTTTTAGGTTAAATTGCATCAAATTTGTAATCATCACGCCGCATTTAACAAGATTATTTCCGCAAAAGTATGAGAAAAATCTGAATGTATGTTCGGAGTTTATATTTGTTTAAATAATGTACGACATGTAACATGTTGTTCATTTCTGAAATACTTGCACCTTTTAGCAATATAACAAGGGTAAGTAAGTAAGTAATGGAATAAATGGTGTGTTGTATTAAGTTGATCGTTACATGTTACATACTGCAACCGGGGATGAAAAAAAAAACATTTGTTCATTTCATTTAACGTCATCAATAATGTACATTTATGACCACCACTGTTTTTGTAACAAAATGTTCTAAAAGATAAGTTCCTGTCTTCAAAAGATAATTGTTGTTACCATTCTGACCATTTTTATCACAATAAAATTGTGAATTAACCAACTGGATAAATAAAGTGATAAAGCCCTAAATGCATCTTTAAGGGCATTATATTTAAATCAATGCTTAGACCATTTTCAGTGACCACAGAGCCTCTAAGAAGGTAACCTTGAAAACAATGAAACAATCAGGCATACCACGAGAGAATGATATATCATGTAGAATAAAATATTGCTATTCATCATATAAATGTTCATACTATATTACTTAGAACTACATGTATATCTTTTTTTCAAGCAATATTCATACAAAAATATACAAATGTATAAATGATAAATTTCTATAATCAATGTGTTTTATCAATATCTGAAATAATTATGAAAATTGTGCCCATTCTAGGCCAATCCACTTTAACGATAACAAGAATATATTTTAAAAACAAAAAAAAACACTAATGTCATGAATTCTACGTGCCTGTTTAAGATGCCATGAATTTCAGTAGAGTTTTTTTATCAACTGTTGTATATACTTTGTCCTAACTTTAATCATAAGGGAAAAACATGAAATGATATGTTGACTAAAGAACGTACTCAAGTTCTTTAGAATTTACTATAAAAAAGCTGATAAGGTCTTTTGAAATATCTTGATGTAGATGTGTTTGATATATTAAAGCGCTAGATTGTTGGTCCTATTATTAAATGATATACCATTTGAATGACATAGGAAAACAAAGTAATTTACTGATATATCTTGATGTCAATCATCAGAAGATATGATCAAAGAATATAAGTGCTTAAAAAACACAACATGCGACATGTCATTCTGCCATTTCCTTATGGGGCTACTTGAAAAGATAAAAACATAGTAAAGTATGAGGAAGGCTCACTTGAAAAAGTATTAAGTATGCTGTCATCGAGAAAGGTAAAGCAAATAAATAGATAATTTAAATCACCCGTAAAAGGTATAATAATCCTCAGTCATTGAATATGAAGAGAAATAAACACATGCTGTAAGATCTTCAGTATGATTGATGGTATTTAGAATTAGACTCGCGCCACTTTTCCGGTATCAGCACACTCCAAATTCTAGTGGCTTGACGATAGATAAACATTTGTTTGCAAACGCCAAAATAAGTTATATGTTGTTTTTTTCCCTTAATTTATGTTATGGTATTTTTTAACCAGAAGCGATAAGCAAATTAGGTTGAACAAAACAAAGATTATGTTTGAGACCTGGATAACTTTAAATTCCAGTTTAGACTTAGCAACGCAAGCGGTGTTTAATACCAAACATACAGTTTGTCTGCTACATCAAACATAAATTACAACAGCTACAAATCTATATCTCGGAAAACACTGTCATTGTACGCATAGTAAATGGAGGGGAAAAATGTGTCGAAAATTTAATTCGTATTTGATTTGTATACTTAAACAATACAACGTTTCGCAAAATGTGATGGTATACCATGATGAATACAATTGCATCCGGATGAACACCAGAGCAAATTTAATTAACTTTTTTTCGCGGTATCTAAATTAAAAGTGTATCAAGATTAAAAGGAAAAGAATAAGAAACATCGTTTGTGAACCAAATTATGCTGAATTCAATTAGTAACAAGTTAATAAACAGTCTGCAACCTTAATCCTATACATTATAGTTCTATAGCATCCTGTAACATCATAGTGTATAAGTCTATCAAAGCAGTAAGTAAATACGAAGACGAATACGAAATTGTACATCTATAAATAAGTCGCAATTAAAAAGATTAAAACCGACGATCAAATGTTTTTGTTTGTTTGTTGTTGTATTTTTTACTTCTATCAAAACCAAACTGTAAGAAAAACTACTAATTGTGAATAAACGGTTATATAGAGTATAAACATTAACGGAGACGACAACATTTATTAATGAATAGATTCTCGTGACCATTTATGCAAGGATAGCAATAGTCTGCAGAAGCCATCGGACTTAAATCTTACACCCTGTGGACTCGAGCTTTAAATGCGTCCCTGTGATTCTGAAAATGTTAAAGCACGAAAAAGGTTAATTAAGCCTCTATTGTTTTTGTTGTTTTTGTTTGATTTTTTTTTTTTTGGATGAAAACAATCCCTGCAGCATAATAAGGCCGCAAAAGTACACCATGACAAGTATGCTTTTGTACAAGTTGAATGTAAGTTAATTGCACTGACTGTTTCAAAGAAGAATAACTACAAATTCTTAGTTTAATCAAGGTGATCAATCCTAAAAAGCCTACTATTTATGTATTTTTATCAGGGATTTTTTTTCTATTTACATTCTAATTGCAAGTTTTTAAGTAACATTTTGAAAACGGTGGTTTTCAAAAATTACATTGAGTTGCAAAAATAGAGTAAGTACTATTTACACTGATTTGCTACTGGAACTTGTGAATATTATATCTACATCATATATAAATATCAATTCAAGATGAATCATGAATCATATTAGAAAATAATTGCAATATTAAAATAATCAAATATGATATCTGTTTTTAACTTAGCCTCCGATAAGTTGCCTTTTACTGCAACAAATCATTATTCTGTCTTATTGTACAAGAAAATGTCATTTCAATACTAAAAGTATTTATTTTACAGGCATATCATATTTTGATACCTGCATTATAACACATGAAGCTTAAGAAGCTCAGCTTAGCATCTTTGATGATGTTCTGGCCTGAATACTACATGTAATGAAGACGGAAAAGATGCCCTGTGAGAAAGGAAGACAAAGATTCTAGTCACAAATTGCTGGTATTTACGACAAAATTGATATAAGCACCACAGTAAAGCAATACCTTTGTCAGTATTGAAAACACAGAAGTACAGAATATTCGCGGGAAGGGTTATGTGTAATGTTTAAATGAAGTGTTGTCCAACCCATTTGCATTTGTTATATACTTCTGTATAAATGTTTTGTACACGTACAACGTACTAGTAATACAATAATCTAATCTAAAATTTAGAATGAAGAACGGGACACATTCCCTTTCCAAATTCTGTTTAAAACAGCTATTGTAGGTATTTAACGTAAATATCGCCCGTATCACCAGCTTAAACAGTATATGAAAAAAAAATCTTATATGATAAAAACACACGAAAACTTAACTGAAATTAATAACATAATTATAATGGACACGCCAGACATGATGGACATGATTCTGACAGACTTAACCCATGTGTTTGTCCGTAAAGAGTGTACAACTATGCAACAGTAAGTACCAAAATTGAAATGAAAATAGCAAATATAGGCAACCACCATGGATATCTTTGATATCTTTCTTTGAGGTTATATCAAATGATAAGACAAATTGTTTATGACCGTAATTACAAATAATTGTACGAAAACTGATCGTAAGTAACTATAGACACAGACAAAATCATCTCACCGCATACATAGATTAGTAATTTGCACCAGAATCAGTCAACACTCCAATTATATTCGAACTTCGTTCGCTCAAACTCGGAGGGCCTGTGCAAATTTATTCGAGAGATCGGTAGTTCAAGCCAACCGAGGTTGAACTATTATCACGTAGGACATAGACCTAAAGGTTTTCCAGTTAACATCTATCGAATGATAAATACGTCAATACACTTGTTTGTTAGTACATCAGTTCGTCGAATACGTCACTTCTTTAAATATTATGAATCAATATTCCAATGTTTTCAAATGAGTAATAAAAAGCAACCACTTATGTCATGGATTCTACATGCCTCTTTATAATGCCATGAATTTGAACAGAGTTTTTTTATCAACTGTCCTAACTTTAATCGTAAGAAAAAAAATGAAATGATATATTGACGAAAGAACGTACTGATAAGGTCTCTTGTAATATCTTGATGTGGATGTGTTTGATATTTTAAAGCGCTAGATTTTTGGTCCTATTATTAAATGATATACCATTTGAATGACATAGGAAAACATAGTAATTTACTGATATATCGTGATGTCAATCATCGGAAGATATGATCAAAGAAAAAATTGCTTAAAAAATCACAAGTGCGACATGTCATT